GACGTTCATTTCCGTTGCCATTGCAGATTATCCCCGTAAAACGATGAACCACTGAACAAACTACAGAAGGAGAACATTAGATATAATGAAGTTCTTCCACGAACTAATTTGAAAGAGCATCATCATTTGCAAAAGCAGCCAACAAATTCTCATTTTGTTTTAAAACTACATGAAAGAAAAACGATGATAACAAAATGCTAATTTCATCGAGTGATATCATCCCATTATCCTTATTTGCATAAATCAAGATGCAAAGAGTAAAAATTGATGGTACAATGATCAAACTTCAGGAAAGACAGCCATGAAGTATTAAAGAAAAAGTATGACATATGAGAAGTAAGACAATAGGAGGGAGAATTTCTATAGCTGATCGTACAATAATCAATGTCAGTTCGCAGAGTCGGTGTATGGTGATGATAGAGTGATAGTGATGGTGGTGGTGGTATGGTTTCCTTGGCAGTTGTCTTTCATCTATCAGAGTCCTCGGTTCTTTTTTCGACTAACGGTGTGAGTCTGTCTCTTATACTGAGGCATAGCGATACACCACAGACAGGCCATTTCTACTTATCTTGGCATAGCGACGTTGCCGAGTTGAACTACCACAAGAGTCCCACTCTCGGAAGTTGTCCGGTGTCTCGGTGTCTTAAGTACGGCAACATCGTGTGCGGTATTTCTTGTAAGTACTCCTCTCTGCTCCTTCGCCGTTTCCTCCCCCCCCCGTAACCCTCCTTTTCTTATTCCTATCTCTGTCTCTTTTTCTCTCACGGTTAGTATATCTCTCTATTTCTTCTTTCTACCTCTCTCAGTCGTTCAGTGCCACGACCACTCAGACACGCGACATTTGCGATGAAAGTAGTAGGTGTCTTTTACCTACAGGCGAGAGGAAAATAAAAATGAAAAAGAGGGAGGGTTTCAAGGGGGAGGAGGGAAACGATTTTCAGGAGAGCGGATCGTATGAGCAACAAAACGGTAGTGAATACGAACCTCGACCGTAAGTTTGCCTATATGCAAGTGTGTATATATATATGTGTGTGTGTGTACGTGCGCAAAAGTCCGAGGAGATTATCGTGCGCGCTGGTGCGCCAAAAAGCGATGATCTGAAGAAGGGGGAGGGGGAGGGGTCGCATCGTCTTGCTACGACTACCGAAGAGAATAAATAATCTTTCCAAGATGAAGTGGTCATCGACCGATGATCAAAGTGTTTCTCCAATGATCCTATACACTGAAGAAAAAAAAAAAAAATATCGAGTCACTTGTTCATTCATTATGTATGAACCTAAACAATAGTGGCTGGTAGCAGTAATCGGTCATTTTAACGAATAGAAATTAAATGTAATTCTTATCAACGTTAGACGTCAACTAGATGATAGTAGATGCTAAATGTGATCAAATAGTAGCTAAGAATAATGTTTCGCAATTTTCCATTTCGCTTATCAGATAGGAATGTACAGTAGTTTTCAGTAATATAGTATACAATATATCTTTTCTTTCTTTCTCCGGCTACTTTCGAATCAACTAACGATCTTCCGCAAAGCATAACTTTCTCCGATACAAAGGAAATTCCTGTGATATCTTGAGCCAACAAAGGAAGAAGATATGAAATATTTGTGTATGCAGTAAGGTAAGAAAAAGATCGGCAAAGTATACAGTAGTTGGCCAATTTAGGCAAAGGACAGAGTTTAAAGAGAGAAAGAGAGACAGAAGAGAAGGGAGGTATGCGATAGAGAGCGCATGCGTGGGACGAGCAAAAGCGGGCAACCGGGAATCTTTCCGTCTGCTTTGGTATCCGCACGGCAGCGGCGGCTGTTAGGCCATGTGTGAGGAGTGCGCGGGATGGTGTGAGGTCGGTCGGTCGCTTGGTCGGTCTCCTTCCTCGGTTGAACCAGGAGTGAAGCAGAACAAACGCAAGGGGGGCTGCTCTCCCCCGCCTGGGAGAGACGCAGTGTTGCCGTATCGCTTGGCATAGCTCGAACGGGTGGCGGCGCCGCCGCCGGCACCAACTCTTGCGCTGCTATGTGTGTGGTAGGGCGCGGCGTTGCCATATCGACCGTGTCCTCACCACCGGGGAACGAACCAGCCAACCATCCAACCAACCAGCCAACCAACCAGCCAACCAACCAACCAACCAACCGATTTCTCTCTCTCTCTCTCTCTCTCTCTCTCTTTCTTTCTTTCTTTCTCTTTCTCCCATTTGGTTCGTGCCAAGTACCTCCTCACTCGATCGCACCAAGCGTGTCCCACGGCCACGGGAGTGAATCAAGGAGGGACGACAACGATGTAAGGCACCGATGCCGCGGCACCTGACTGACTCAGCATTACCGACTGACTTCGCGGCAGATTCCTCGCGTACTGCACGCACTCGCCTACGACAGCCAGACCAATGCCAGACTACTACTATGGGTGCGCGGCACGATTTGATGCGCGACTTCTCCTCCTTCAACAGTCCCAGACTATCTTCTTGCCCTTGAACGAGTCACACTTATACCCTCCTTTTAGGCCTACACCACTGTCGTGCCTTTTTCTTTCCCCGCCCCCCTCTCTCCCCTTTTCTTTCTGTTCTTTCTTGCACTTCTTTCATGTGCAAATCATATTTCCATAACACAACTTCTACCTGTTTTCTTTTTATACTTCGTTATTAAAAGTATCATATTATCTTATTGCTTCTCGTTCTTTTCTTTTATTCTAAGTTTTGTTTGAAATTGAGCAAGAGAGTTACTGTTTCTCTTTTACGAAAGAGGACGACGACTTTTTTTTTGTATGAGACGTTAACATCTTTTATCCAATTTCTCTTTAACGCCCAACATTGATGATGCCTCCATTCCAATTGATTGCCAGTATCTTTTAAATTGTTATGCACTTCATAAAAAATTTACTCTCTTCGATTTGTTCGATTTCCTTTTTGTTTTCTTTTTCAGATTCGGTGATTATTACTAAATTACGATAAATATGTAAATAATTATGCGGATGTTGTGTTTTATAACTGCTTAGATTTCGAAATTGGAATGTTAGATATAATAAGTAGCAATATTGAAGAACTCGGTACATGGAACTGCAATAGAATATGTAATATAAGTACATTTAAGTTGATTTCACGAAGCTCGCAGTATACCCGTCAAAGCTTTTAAAATAATCTACTTTATTATAAGCATATAACAAGAAAAAAAAACAAAACAGAAAATAATGCATTGGTTCGTTTAGAACGACCATAATTACGTGCGTGCTAGCCTCTAAAATTACTAATCATAATTATTCCAAGCGTGACTTCATCGAATTTACGATCTTATGGATATATTTTAATTATGTCACATCAGACCACTGATATGATAGACATAACAGTCGTATCGTTTGAAGAATATCATCTTGCAAAACTCGATTGCTAATCGTACACGCACACTTTCACTTTGCACTTCTTAACTAAAAGAAAATCAAACGAATAATTAATATTTCATATGAAAGAAACAAGAAAAAGAAAAAAAAAAAGAAACGTCACAATTATCCAAATTTTGAAATATGACCCTGCTATAACAAAGAGACAACTTTGAAGATATATATTCAAAGTCGGTATATGATTAAGAAGTAAATTTGAAGAATAAGGAGAGCAAACCTAATACCGGATAAGAGAGTAGAGTCCACTTTGAATTTATAGGATATAGTGAGAGCTTCGGCTCGATCACACTTGTTGAGGGGAAGCCTTCGTGCACCACTGCCTCTATATCCTCCTCCTCCTCCTCCTTCTCTTCCTCCTCCGCCCCCGCCCCCAACCACCACTAGTGTACCACCACCACCACCACCATCACCACTACCACCAACATTGCCTTCTCTCCTGCTTCTCTTCTTCTCACGATATTCTCTCTCTCGTTCTAGCTTTCTCTCTTTCCCCTTCTCTTTCTCCTCTATACACCTCCTTCCCACCTTTGCCTCATGGTCTATCTTCCATTCCGTACTCTACCCCTTCGCAGCCGACCTTGACCCTATGTCGTTTCCGCATTCTGCTAATGTTATGATTTAGATGATACTCCCAATCCAATTGGCAACATTCATCATTCTAATCTTTTACCAAAAGATTAATATCTTTTTATTATGGATATTTTTTGTTTACGGTATATTCTTAAGGAAAGTTATTTCTTGGAGTACCACATATTCCTCTCATTACAATTATTACCTAAAAGATTATTCTTTTCGTTATTAATATCACTTTGTTGTAAAATATTGTTGGAGTAGAGTACTTGGACGTTAACGAGGTCACTGACAGCTATGAGATATTAAACAGAAATACCCAGGCTTGCTTCAGTAATGTCATTTTGTCATCCTCCTAGCGAGGAACGTGCACCAGGAACGTGTTCGTTAGGTTTGCATGCGGGTGATCTTCTCTTCTTCTTCTTGATGATATGGTGGTATATATATATATATATATATATATATGTATGTATATGCATATACTGCACGTTTTAATACGTTCGCTGCGTAAGAGAGGAAGTGAGAAAGTTCTACGGTCGATAATTATCCATGAACTATAAGTGCTTATGCTCTACACAAAACGCCATCATTGTACGAACGATTTTGTGTATAGTAACGCAAAATAATTCTTTCTAAAGTTATATCTTATCAATCTAAAGAAAGAAAAAAAAAAGAAGAAGAAACTTTCCTATAGAGAAGTACTTTTGAAAAGATGAAAGAAAATCTCAAAGGACTTGTATCTCCACCATTGAGAACACGTCAGAAACGATACTAACAAGCGATACCATTATAATGATGTATAGATTTAATAGAAAATACCTTTTTTTAATATATCCAAATCTTCGTAGTTCATTTTTTTTGTTTTTTTTTTTTTTCAAATGTTTTAACAGTACAACGATACAGTTACCAATAACTCTGGCAAATTGGAAGAAATATCTCTTGTAATTATACTTTTGTACCTAACTGTTATTATTATTAGTATTTTCATTTGTTTAATTATGTTTTATTAAAATGTGAATTATTATAATTAAAAATGGACTCACTTTTATCCATCCACCACGGGCGGTAACAACTACGTATAATAAATACAGATCTATCTCCTTCCCACTGATTTTTGGAGACTTTCGAAATGGAGTCCTGAAATTGCAACATAACAAAGATTAGCATTGTTTTAATATACTACAATGATAATAAACAAATTCATATAAGATAAGATATACTATAAATTCAATGTATTATTATTATTATTATTATTATTATTATCATTATGATTTTCTTTTTTTATCTTATAAATAAAAAGAAATCTGCATAGAAGGTGACCTACATTTCTGTAAGAACGTTCATTTGTAAATCTGACGAGACTACTTTCTTAGAACGTTATTAGATTTGTCCAAAGAAATTCTCTTTTTATTTTTTATTTTTCCTTTACTTCGTTCTTTTTTTTTTTTTTTTTTTTTTTAATCTTAATTACAAGAAGAAAGTTTTTCTTGAAAGTAAGAAGAACCTTTTCCAGCAAAGTCACAATCGAACAATCTACTTAACCTTTTCAACGCGAGAACAAATTCGAATTGCTATTCGAGAAACACCAAAGGCATTTATCTTTTAACGTTTATAATCATGCGTATTATAAATCATTATTATTCACCATACAATTTTTATCTAAAAATAATCCTATGTTTAAGACATTTGACACGCATTAATAAATGAAATCTTAACTATTGTTTGTCGAATAAATCGAAGAAAAGTTCGATATAAAATAAAAACTATCGAAATTAAAACGAACTACGATCGCGCTTAACTTCAAGCGTAAACAAATTCGAAATATATAAAAAATCAAGAGGTTAGAAATATTTACAAAGAAAAATTGCAAAAGGTTGTTCGATGAATTAGTGCACGAGATGAGTTCTTTTTATTATTTTATCGAGAAAAGAGTTAATAAAGGATTATCGAAATAAAAAATTATCCACCATGAGAAGGAAAGAAAAGTAAACAAAAGAAATATATACGATAGAAACACACACGCGCGCGTGCATAATAATGATGCAAATTTGAAAATATCCGCACATAACCTCAATTTTCTTTACATCTTTCCATTCGATTAATCGTATAAGATATATTATTTATCTCACGCATAATCGAGAATTCGTTTTAATAAAACGACAAAAATAAAAGTAAAGACACTGATACGTAAGAGAACACAGAAAAAAAAAAAAAAAAGAAAGAAAGAAAATAAATCAAAAGAAAGTAGAAGGAAGAACGAGAGGAACGAGGTAAGTGACCGGGAAACGGCGACGACGTGAAGTGAGGCTCAAGTATGAGACATCCAAAATGCAAGTGTGAGAGAAAGAAAGAAGAATAAAAGAAGAAAGGGAAAATTATAAAGAAAAGAACAAATTAAAGTAAATCGAAATAAATAAATTAATTACCCTCTGGTTTCGTGAAAATGCCGGAGTTCCTTCATAAAGTTTTCCCTCTCCCTCTCGTAGGTGACGGGATCCTTGTCGAGGATCTTGGCCATGATCACGGATACGAGGACGGTGTAAGAATCGTTTCTCTGTCGTGATGATCGGAGTGCACTCCGTAATAATTAGAGCAGCAGTAACAATAACAATAATAGGGCAGCACGTAGGGTTACCGGTGAGCAGCAAAAAAAGGGTAGAATAGTAAAAAGAAGGTTCGGATGGGCGCGCATGGGAGCACATTTACGCGAAGACGATTGTTCTGGGTTCGTGGTGTCTGTTGCTGCTGGCGAGGGTGGTGACGGTGGTGTTGCTGGTATCGCAGTTATTGCTCTTGGTGGTGGAAATCCAAAGAGCTGGCGACGACGAGGACGGTAGCGTAGGTGAGGAGGATGGTCAGTAGTAGTAGTAGCAGTAGTAGAGATGATAATGGTACTGTCGATGAGGACAAGGACGTTGTCGTTGGTGGTGGTAGTGGTGAGACGACGAGGACGACCACGGGTCGACACGGGGTCGCGACCCGTTCCCGACAACATCGGGTCGTCTTGTCCTGGCCCCCGGAGTGTCGGCCGGTGGCCTTTCTCTCTCTCTCTCTTTCTATCTCCTACGTTCCTTCGTTCTTTCTTCTTTTTCCCCCTTCCGTCTTCTTCTTGTGTCCCCTTCTCTCTTGACCGTTCCGTGTCCGAAGAACGCGCGCGAAAGGCGCGAACCGAGGAAAAAAGAAACGGACGACGATGGACGACAACAATGGTCTCAACAAACTGCAACTGCAACTAACCACTTTGACGACGACGACAATGATAATGATGATGATGACACAACGAAGATGATGTCTCGCAGGAACGACTTTGACGACGATGGTATGATGCTGACAGCGGTTTTTCTCCCCAGGTGCTTAGACGCGTACTCGGTGCACCGGACTGATCACAGGTGTGGGGAAAATACGGTGGGTGGAGACGTTTTGTAGCCACCGTATATACCAGTGTGAGAGAGAGTAGTAGTAGTAGTAATAGTAGTAGTAGTAGTAATAGTAATAGTAATAGAGTAGTAGTTTAGCACCGCGTGCCGATTCGAAAGAAGGAACGAAGCGCGCGCGAGTTTATTGCAATCTGCTGCTGCTGCTCGAGGAGAGACTTTACTACTACTTTACGGTGGCCACGTCTTTTCTTTCTCTCTCTCTCCTAATGTAATATACAACGCGTTTTCTCTCTCACCCTTTCGTTCCTTCTTTCTTTCTCCCTCCCTTCTTGATAATCTTCTTTTTGGCGTTCTCCCTCCGATCCCTTTCTCGCGGGGCACAGAAAGGCACCCCGCGCGATCAACGACGACGCGACTCGTCGTCGCTCGTTGGCGGCCGCGCGGATCGATTCACCTGTCACTTGTCAAGTTAAGGCGAACGTTTAAGATTCGTCGTCGCGCCACGACGCACACCACTCTCTCTCCGTAGCTCGTCGCGGCGCACCGTAGCGCAGCACAGCGCAGCGCAACGCAACGCACCGCACCACCAACAACACCACCACTCACAACAGAACCAAACTACTGAGAGAGACCAACACGGCTGCAAATGTACGTACGTATTACTTCCTATGGCAACACCAAACGACAAACCGAGATGGACAGATAGATAGATAGAAAGATAGATAGATAGAAACAGACAGACAGAAAGAAAGAGAGAGAACGTTTGCCTCGCGGCTCTCTCTATCCACACACCACGTTATTCCTGTTCACGTTTAAGACGCGACTACGGCGCCAAGGTACAACGATAACTGCCCAACAGTATTACAACAACAAGCTCTCTCTCAAAGGCCAAACCAGCAGCCTCGAGAATCGGGCTAACGAAAAGAAGCGGCAACTATTTTGTCGCGCGCTCCTACGCGAACCGACTCCCAGAGCGCGTTTCCCCTGCGTAGCGGCGCGTTACGAACGGCGCTTGACGTGCGCCCGTATATCAAAATGGCGTCCCGTTCTGCCTGGCATCCATTGGCGAAGCCACGGCCGATTTCCCCGTACGGTTGCTCTCCCCCTCGCCCTTCTGTTTCACCTCCACCTCCTCCTCCTCCCACCCACCAACCTCCTTCCTCTCCCTCGCGACCCCTCCGGATTCTCTCTCTCACCCCCTCTACCCCTTGTCCTCGCGCTCTCCCTTTATCCGTCTTTCTCTCACTCTCGACGTAGCCTCGTCGGTGATACGACGACACTACGACGACACTACGACGACGACGACGACAACAACGACGACGACGACGGACAACGACGACGGCAGTGACGGCAGCGACGACGACGACGACGACGTCGCGCGATGCACGTACAGCACCGCACTGCACTGCACCGCACTGCACTGCACTCTATCTCGCTGCACCGCACGCACACCGCACGGCTCAGCACGTTTCGACACACCTCTCTCTACCCCCCTCTCTAGCACGCTCACGTTCTCGCTCTTTCTCGCGCTCTCTCTTTCTCAAAGCCAGTCGTGTAGCTGTCGCGCGCGCGACTCTTTGCCACCTTCTCCTCTCCTCCTCCCCCTCCTTTTGATCCTCCTATTTCGCCACCCTCAGTGCTTTGCTCTCGTACCACACTGCTACGCGGAACGTCTTCGCGTCATTTCGGTGAATTCGTGACACCACTGGACATATATCGGTCACCGTTGGGATACTTCCGCGACGTGTACCGCCTTTTTTCGCTGGTCGCTCAAGACCTAGGAGGAAAATCCCGGCTCACGCAGTATTTTTACTTTCAAAATGGATGGGGCCCCCCTCTGAGGAGCGGCGCACCGTTTGAATTAACGTTAAAGAACGCCACCAGAGGAGCCACTTTACATAGCCACCCCAACGCCATCTACAACTCCTGTGAACTCGCCTTTTTTTTTATCGCAAAAGATTTAGCTGCGATTGGCGCGTGATGAAAGTTCTTCCCTATTGCTCGGTTCTCAAGCGATCCTATTGGATCATTCTTATGATCGGTTTTTATTGGTCGATGAAATATCGAACGCTTATCGATTAAAGATCGATAATTGTCCGCGACTTTTTAAATATTATCACCTTCGATTGTGCAAGCCTAATGTATAATTAAATTGTGGAAGAACATAATAATAAATAAAGTTTGATTTTTAATATTTCAGATTGTTCAAAAATATATTATTTAACCCTACTAATTTTAATATCAATTTAATATGTTGCAATTGAATGTAACATGAAGTAATAAATGAATTTCTAAACGTAGTTACCGCAGTTATCGTTTTTTAACTTAACCTGTACCTACGAGAATATTAACAAACCAATTGTGAATTGGAATGAACTTGTTTTTTAATCTCTTTCAAAAATTAAATATTTTAATTAACAACAGAAATGACGTATAAACGTAAAAAATATCACCGAGGAGATACACATTTGAAAAAAGGTTGGAGAACTAAAAGGAGAACTAAAGATTTAGACGAGGTAATAATATTTGATACTTAACCTTAACGAGCACATGTCTTTTCTTCGTTCATTTTTTCTGTACGTTCATTTAAAATTTAATTCTTTTAATCGTGCAGTTAAGTTTTTATTTATTCTAGATTGACGTAGATTTAAAAGAAGAAAATGTGAAACAATTATTAAATCAAGAAGTGGATTTGGAAAAACCAGGAAATGCACAACATTATTGCATCCATTGCGCGTAAGTTAGGTTATGAATTAACTTTGCAAATGAAAATAATCTACAAATAAATTCTATTTAATTTTGTTGCAGGAAATATTTTATAGATAAAACTGCATTGCAAAGTCATTTTACAACGAAGGTACATAAACGTAGATTAAAAGCTCTCGAAATAGAACCCTACACAATCGAGGATTCTGAAAGGGCTGCTGGAAAAGGAAGCTACATAGCACCGCAAAAAAGAAAAATAGAAACTTTGATTAAAGATAATGAAAACGGAACAATACCAAAAGCTAAGTTAATAAAAATGGATACTTAAATTTATTATAGATCAATTTTTTCTATATGATCCTAATGATCATAAAACATTAATTTAAAAGAAAAATTACGTTATATTTAAACGGATTATAAATATATTTTGTTTATAATGGCAAGCAAATTGTTAATACAACGTATTGCTAATTTAAATCATGGTTTCTTAAAAGATGTTTTCTATAAGTCGTGTAGAAAGTATGTATCAACGTTGCACGTTTCTGGTAGGAACGCAAATAAAATTTGCGTATTTCTGTTGCCTTATTTGGATTTCGATGAACGTTTTGACGATATAGATGGATTGCAAAAAGAAATTAAATTGCGTAAGCTTAACATGGATGTAATAGAAATGAAAAAGGCATGGGACTTTTATAAATCTATCGAAACGAAGTATCTAACTTTAGAGTATAGAAAGCAAGAGATCTCGATGATAATAACGTCGTTGTTGAACAAAACAGAAAAAACTTCCTATGACGAACAAGAGTTGGTCAAGTTACGTTTGCAAGCTAAAATGATCAGAGAAGATATGAAAAATGTCAAGGATATCCAATGGGATTTAGATGAAACTATTATAGAAAAATTATTAAAATTACCTAATAAATTAGATGGAAGAACACCACCGTCAACGCCACTGATATTGCAAAACGTTGGAAAACCATTCATATTACTGGAGAATAATAAAAAGAATCATATCGAAATAGGGGAAACGCTTGATTTAATTCAATACAAAGATCCGATGAATTATTATTTGTTAAACGATGCAGCCTTATTTGAATTTGAGTTATTAAATTTTGCTGGAAAAATGCTTACTGATAATAACATAATGAGAATAACAGGATCAGATTTTTGTCGTAGCGTTTTAGTAGAAGGTTCTGGTTTAAATCACCAGAATCCTGCAGATACTTTTATATTAGAAAATGATCAAGAGCCCGTCACGGATATAATCAGTCATATGCATTTGGTTGGCGGGACAAGTTTATCATCCATGTTAGGGCTTCATGCGAAACAATTAATAAAATCGGATCATTTACCGATAAAATATTATTCCGTTGGTAGACAATATACACCAGTTTCTAATGAAACTATGCTGTCTGGTTTATTTTCTGTTGCTCAAGCATCTACTGTAAATATCTTCTTAATATTAAAGGATATCGATTCTACAGAGAGGACAACTGAATTCAATAAGATGTTAAAAATTATTAACGATTTTTATAGTAACATTACAAATCATTACAGAGTTGTTATACGATCAGCACCAGAGTTACTAACGTGCGAAGAAATGAGAGTGTCTATCGAATTATGGTCACCTTTCTTAGAACAATATATCGAAGTTGGCCATCTTTCTTTACATGGAAAATATTTTAGTAAGAGATTATTAATAGGATATGAAACAACAGATAAAGTTAAAGAATTTACTTCGATTATATCTGGTACGATGCTTTCCGTACCAAGAATAATAGGATGTTTGTTGGAAGAAAATCCTGACAAATTTGTAATGCCTTCCAAGATCCTTAAACAATTATCTGATTATCGTACAATAAACACGGATAATTAAATCCAAAGAAAGTCATTTTGATTAATTCACACTTTAGTCTTATATCCTACATTGTAATTAATGATAGAAAATTAATACGAAAAACGATTTAATTTTTATTTCCCTGTTATATTACTTGTCGAGGGAAATAAATGATATGTTCGTCAACCTTATATGATTTTTCATCGAATTAACGTATTAATCAAGCTTATGCATTAATATATATATATATATATAAAAAATGGTAATATACTGATGAACGTTTTGAATTAAAAATAATTCTTTAAACGAATCGACGGGGTAATTATAATAATGAATGGTTGTAAAGTGATCTATAATAGTTTTGAATAAGAAATTAAAAATACAATGGGCATATCGGTTATTGAACACTTCGAATAACAGTCATCACCTTTGAACAGGATTATGTTTGTTAACCAATTACCCACTATACTTAGGCTTATTAAATGTACTTATACATCCTCACGGGTTTCACCAGTTGCTATGGTGCTATATCTAACTCTTTTATTAACGGAATTAATGATTGGTTCAAATTTCTTCCGTAGTTTTATACGGTTCACGTAAACGAGAGCACACAATAAAACGACTAAAAGGAACGTAAAGAAATACAGTGCTATCAAAATTCCTGTTTTCGACAATCTTAATCCTAACGGACAAGGATGCGCCCCATAAATGCTCTTAGATTTTCCATCTGGAAAAAAAAAATAACAAGCATAAAAGTACAAAATTGTATAAACATGAATTCCACATATGATAAATGATACGATCATCTTATTAATCACCTTCCACACATTGCAAGCTGCTCTTATTTCTTATAAAAACTTTGGTCTTGTTCATCCATTCGATAAATGGATTAAGTCTGCAGGAACACGTCAATGGATTTTTCGAGAAATCCACGGTGAACGATTGATTCTGTTTAATAACAGATTCCATAGTACGAATATCGGAATCCAAGATTTTTGTAAATTTATTTCTCTGAAGATCCAAGAAACGTAACTTATGAAGACACGATAGATTGAAATGCAATCCCGTCAATGCGTTATCTCCTAAATGTAAATCTAAAAGATTTGGTAGATCACAGAAAACGTTTGGATCCTTGAACTCTGATATCTCATTTTGCTCCAAATGCAATTTCATTAGTTGAGTTAGATTGCTGAGGAGACAAGGTTTGCTTTTAATCTTTGTTTTACAATGAAATAAAAAAAAAAGCAAAATAACGAGGAGATAGAAAAGAAATGTTAAGAGTAAAAATATTTCTACCTATTAACGAATATATCGTGAAGAGTCTCTGCTAAATCTCTCGGTTGACCATCCTCAAAAGCATCAGTTAAATGCAACTCTAAAAGTGATACGAAATTGGAGAAAACTCTAGGATGACTTCTACCAGGATCCAATGAAAGTTCATTGAAATCAAGAATAAGACGTTCCACTCGTTTAACGTGGTGATAAGCTTTTCCACATATTTCTTGAATGTGGTTGTTGGACATGTCAATGACTTTTAAATTAGGTAATCTGTCAAACGTGCCGAATATGTTCCATGGTAATAATGTCAGATAATTACCCGTAAATATTAACACCTGTAAAAAAAATTATTGTAAAAAATAAAACACAGTTAATAAATAAATCAATGATCCTATACAAGTAGATAAAATCAAAATCAAAAAGACCTGAGTAGCATTAGGAAGATGTTCTAATGGCGTTGTATCCAAAAATCCGGTATTCGTACAATTGACAACATATTGGTGATGACCGTCGTAACACATCCTTGAACAACGGCAAAGATTTTTAAACGCATCACCGCAATTATGTACCGAACTTTCGTTGGTCTCAAGATTATGCCAGTTGGGATCGTTGCAATCGACTTCTGCCCAAGTTCTGATCGTCATCGATAGTAATATAACAATTGCTACGCACAAGGTCTTCATCTTCATCTTAAAAAATATAATAGTTTATTAAAAAAAAGAAAAAGAAGTAAAGTATTATTGCGAGTACTTATAGGCGTTAAAGAAAAATTAATAAATAATAATAGTAGTAGTAATATTATAAAGAAATGCAATGAACAAGGTAAGCAGAATGCAGAAGCAAGAAGCCTTTGAATTATTGTTCGCGTTGATAAATCATAAAACAATAGGAGTATGAAAAAAAAGAATAAGTGGACCACACTTACGCATTACTCACGTAACTGGTGTATTATTTTTCAACGATCGGCGATCACTGTATGTTTCAAAACATCTTCATCGTTTAATAAGAACAATACTAGATCAATCGCGAGTATCTTAATATCATTTTGCAATGCATCCTTATCACACGTTTCTTATTTACACGATTAGTTGACCTGATGAGATAGGAGAAAGAACGTTTCTCTTTCTCTCTTAGAACTTCTGGAATGGTACCGGTAGTAGAAGAAGAATAAGAAGAAGAAGAAGAAGAAAGTATTCGTGGAACTAACAGAAGAGAAAGAAAGAAACAAACAAAGAAAAAAAAGAAAGGAAAGAAAGAATGAAAAAGAAACTTACTTGGCTGAGAGTTATCTGGGTCGACTAAAAACGTTACGCGTAAGAAGATGGAAGAAGATTGAGGAAAGAGCAGTTAAACTGTATTCCAAGAGATGTAACACAACGTGACACGGCACGTACCATCGCTGAACCCGTAGTTGGGTCCGACCGCACCTGTGTGGGCCCACTGAACGCCCACCTATCCGCTTACCCCCACTTAAAACGCTCACCAAACGCCTACCAACTATAAATGGAGCTTCTTTTATTTCTTTCTTCTCTTTCACTTCTTAGTTTTCTTTTCATATTCCTACAAAAAATACATCAAATATTATTTCCCTGCGGGTATGTGTATTACGATACAAGTTAGCTTTTTTTTCTTTTTGTGTTCATCAAACTAAACTCCTACATTCTAATGGAACGTAACTATTATTATACCTTTTGTTTCTTTCAATATATTTATTTTTAAGTTTCTTTATCATTCAAATTACTTCTAATCGCTATGCCGTAACGCATAAATAAGAACGAACAATTTTCAGGTGTGTTAAAAAGGTGATCCGACGAGTAAAGCTATATTTTATCATTTTTTATTCTTTTTGTCCTTGTACTTTTTAAAATATCCTTCGGTAAAAATAATCTTTGTTTTATTTTTTCTTAAAAAAGAAAAAAAACCTTCCTTCTAATTCGGATAAAAATTAATAATTAATTAAAAAAAAAAGAAAAAAGATTATAGATGATGAATTGTTCAAAGAAGAGCAGGTGTGTAAATGAAATTTATTCGACGCCGACTCGTATAGTTCCTTATATGTACATACACATGTGTCACTATATGAGTCATATAGGTAAGCATGTTTACGGGGTGTCCATGTTTCAGCAAAATTTGACCATTTTGTATTATTTTATAAATAAAAATAAAACAAATATCTTGTATAAACGCCATGGGATCTTAAATGCTTAAATTTAAAAATGTTACTACCAAAATACGAAATGATAAACGGACTTGTGTTTCGTTGACCGTAGCATAAGAATGCTTCGTTGATCCCTTTTTACCTGAGAAAGATTAACTGCACAGTTATTTCAAGAATTTCCTACCAAAAGTTTCTACCAAATGGGACACCCTGTATACATCTATATAGGGTGAGACAAGAATTGCTTTCCTCCAGCAATCCACAAAATTTGAAATCAGTTAGAATGATTGATAGAACCGGTTATTTAAAAACTTGAAGACACCAACTGTCTGCCATATATAAATTAATAATTGGACTAATTGTTAGTGAGCTGCATATTGAGTATAATGAACACCAATTTGAAGAATTTATGTGAATAAATGCAGATACACTAATATATAAAAATGTACAAATAATTAGTTCATGGAAAGCAACTTATATCTCACCCTGTATGCGTACAAACGAATATACGTGAAGATTCCTCGTATGGTTGTTGTAAAAATTTATACAAAGGATAACGTAACCCATACGTAAATTATATTCATATATATTATTATAACTCCGAAAAATATATTAAATTATTAAATATATATTCATACAAAAAAATAATTAAATATAAACGATGTAAACATACATATTATATGTATATATAATATATTTATATTTACCCATATACATTTATCTTGAAATATATTATCTTTCAAGTAAAATAAAATGTGCAAAACGAAGAAAATCTTCATATATATATATATATTATATTTATAATTTTTTATTAACAATGGTTATATGATTTTAGCTGCTCGTCAATGTAATTACGATTATTTCCTTACTTGAATTTAACATTCTTTTTCATTTATGTATAAGCAATTAATATCTTTTTTTTTTTTTCTTTTTTTATCGTGTATGATTTATGCATTTATAATATGTGCTTATGCTGAGAAGGATAATGAAATTATTTTATTGGAACTTATACGTAACAGGAATAGTCACGAGTATTGGCAGGATGTATAATGAATTAATTATGATATTAATTAATTCATGAATGATGCATATACACGTGTAACTTATTATTAGTTTTAGATTGGAAAATTGTAAGGATGTTCGAATACGCAAATGAATTATTTCTTTTCTTTTTTTTTTTTTATATCTCTTATTTTTGTGATATACCATGTATGATAATATTGTATATTAGTAGTATATTAAATTTCATTTTGTTGTTTTGTTCTATAGTACACTTTGTTTCTTGTTCCTTAACTTAAATACGTTTTTTGAAAAATATTTCGTAAAAAGTATAAATTAAAACGCTCTTAATAAACAAAAAATTATTATATTTTATCTTGTGTGTTGAAGACGACGACGAATTCATAATAAGGAGTAGAAGATCGATTATTTTCTTTTCTTTCCATTTTGTTTTGTTTCTTTTTTTGGTATTGTCTTTTTTCTTTTTTTTAAATATACAATCGTGGAGAAAAATACGTTTCTTAGCTTTAATAATTAATTAGTTAATTAATAATGCATCTAACACGATGATGGAGAGTGACGCGTGACAAGAAAAAAAAAAAAAAAAAAAAATTAATGCAATCAAGCGAAAGATGATTTTACTTTTCTTCATTTTTCCTTTCGAGATAATTGTTTAAGAATTTACAATTATAAACCCTCTGTGGACTAGACTCTGTGGGTGTTACACACTATGCCTATATTTTGATTTCAAATGCACACAATCGCTCGCACATACATACGCGCACGCACTCTCATACACATATTCAAACATACGCTACAAGATAATTGAGAATACTTCCTTGATATTTGTACCATGTTAATCACCAAGTCAGTAAACCTTTTATTTATGATTCTTGCTTACACTCTCTCTCTCTTTCTTTCTTTCTTTTCTTATTCTTGTTTATTTTATTGTAACAATAAATAATATCTGTCAATATCTTTGATTTACGCAACGGCCCACATTGTCTATAAACTCCTTTGAGAAATATATGTTTTTATACAGAGTGTCTTAAGATTTTTCCGATCAAAAACAATGTCAATATATTTTGTATGCACTAAAATAAGAAAACAAAAAAAAGTTTTATCTGAACATAAATCATTGAACCCTTTCATTATTAGCGACCTATCCCCATGGATATTTAAAGATAATTACATTTGTTTCTTTTTATTTTCGTGCATCATCAGCTGAATGATGTTTGACCAGAAAAATCTTTTCATCCTGTGTACGTATATTTATATATATATTTATATATATATTTATATATATATATATGCGTGTGTGTGTTTATATTAAAATCGATACCAATCTTTTTTTTGGTCTATTACTTTGGCCTGGAAAAAAGAAAAGCATACGATGCGTTAGGTACTTCTAAACGTTACATGATTTTTCTATTTTATCTTGAACATTTATCAAAATATATATAATATTTATACATTTGTGTATATATATATATATATAATAGAAATCTGTGATTTTAATAAATCACACAAAGTAAAGTAAAGCTAAATTCAATTCGGAGATTCAGTGCGATTGAGATTTGAATCGGTTTCAGTCGTTTTCAACTCATACTCTTAAATATTATACCTTCGTTATAGGTGATAATTGTAAATAATTACACCGTTGAAGTTGTTACAAAAATCTGCCAAAAAAAAATAATAATAAATCAGCAGATATACGAATTACGAATAAAATCGTAATATTAAATTTTCCTTAAATAACGGAGACGTTTTGTGCAACACATGAATACAAAAATCGTCGATATTGTGCCATTGGAAAATTGAATAACCGATTTCTTTGAATTATCGTTATTATTATTTTATCATCCCCCATCCTCATAGTGTTATTTCCTTGTACGTTAGGATGATACGGTTTTTTATAGAACGAGAAAATGATAGAATGATATAAATCGATCTTGGCACAAAAGTAGAGCAACGAAATCGGTTATAGCTTCGGTTGAATATTATATGCTGCAAATTGGACGAATATAAGAGGGACCCAATAAAGATCGTGGTTTGATTTAGGCTTTATATCTGTCCGATGAGCCATTTGTGCAGCATAAAATCAAGGCAAATATCAAACCAAGAAGTTCAACTATACCAACACCTATAGCAATTCCAATAACGATACAACTTTGACTCTTCAATGCATTCACCAATTTGTCTATGCATCCCTGAAAATCATAAATAACAAATCATTCTTCACGAACTTTGTATTCTCAGTGATTGATACTCTATTACATATTGATTGAATATTCCTTTCACCAGAATTTTATACCAGGGTAAAAACCCAGTATTACGTTATCAATCATATCGCAATATAAATAAATGAAAAAAAGATTAAGATAATAATCTAAGTTACCTCGTTATAAATAGCAGGGCTAACGATATCTCCTAATTTAAAATTGCGAGCTATATCGCAAGCTATGCTGTCCCTATCCATGCAACAGGATTTCGGTACTTTGTATGTGTTGTCGGATTTTGAAACTGTTAAGGAAAGAGCTATGGAAGAATCGTATTTGGCGTATTTACTGCCAGCCCAATCAGATGGTCCGGTTGCACCACAACATCCAAGACCCGATTGAAAGGCGTCCACTGTTTGAGTACGAAATTCCATTACTCCATATTCGTTCTAAAACAAATCAAATAATGCAATCAATAAAAAAAAGAAGATATCAAATAGATGAAGGGGGTGTGCATTTTAAAAGATAGAACAACAACAAAATAAATATGGAAATTACCTTAACGGTATTGATGACGGATAATTTGACGAGTTCTTCGAGACGATCGCTATTTGTATAAAGCCAAACTCCAGCAGCAATTTGTGCGACTATTACGACCAATAGACAACTGAAAAAGCCAACTAGCATACATTGGGACTCACGAAAGGCTCCGCAACATCCAAGAAAGGCTACCACGAGCATGACGAGTCCAGCTACTAGCAAGATGTAAAGGCCTGCTCTGAAATTGTGCTGTTCTTGTGTCACGGACACGAGAAAATTGTGATCGAATAAAATCCATATCGACAGGACCACTGCTGCTAATCCAATCGCCTGTACAATTGAAAAGACCGACGATAATATAAATCAAATGTATTTCTTTTTTAAAATCCCACCAAAGAGACTATCATACGAAAAATGTTTATGCAAGGGATTACAGCTTGTTTTTTTTTTGAATTTAGATGTTTCATTCGTATATTTTTATCGCTGAGAGAACATTTGAATTGAAATAGACAAAAAAAGATTTCGTAAATTCAAAGACATTTGTGTGTGTGTGTTGCATCCTAATAATAATATTCTTTTATTTGTTCTGACCATGTAAAAAATTATCCCCCCCCTCCCTCCCTTCCCGAGTGCAATAAAAATAAGTTGAAATTCTGATACGAAAAATAATCATAGATTGTTTAATATCTATTAAGTTTGAAATGATTAAATGAATATATCTAATGAATAAGATTTATTATGCTAAGCATATACGACATTCTCCTAGTTATCTATGTCATACTTCAATGCTTCCTAGGCTATCAAGAAAGTGGGTTAACTGCGTAGGCTGGTGTACCATGTTCGTTGAATGACTATAAGCCTATATTTAAAACGTGTTTATGTTTATAAATAAAGATTTCGAATGGGCGAAATCTACAGGAATAAAAAAAAATAGTTAGTCTTTTATGAGTAGCCTCTGAAGAAAGAAAGAAAAAAACAAAGAAATCAGGGGAGTCTCAGGTTTTCTTAAAGCGAATTTAAAACAAAAAAATAATACTAAGAAGTAAAACAAGAAGATAAGATTAAAGTTGCAAAATAAGTATATTCGTAGAGAGCCCCAGATGTAATCGATAAAGCTGTGCTAGAATTGCTCCTGCCGGGAGATAGAATTGCAGTAACGTAACGAAGAAATAAAAGGCCCACTGTGATAATTAACGAGATTATTATATTAAATATATTATACGAACGATTAAAACATTATTTCAAATTTTGTTCTTTCGTTTTCTTTATTTTTCTTCCGTTCAATTTTCATCCTACTCGTCATTTTTATTGTTAAACGATTATTGGCAATGACTCACGACCTGTATTTCTGGCATTTAAAACGATGACGATTTCGATTAATCATTATGCACAATTGTAACGTAATCCTTTTCTTTTTCTATATATATATAGATTTCTATATATATTTTTTTTACATTTACTTTTTAATGCCAATAACATAGAAATATTTAAAATCAAATCAACTACAATCTTAGACACTAGAGGAACCAACAATTTTCGTTAGAATTATGTACGTGACTTGAAACCTGACTCTAACATGGAATTCTTTGAACCAAGAGCCCAATTGACTGCTTTTGTCCAACCACAGGAACCTTTGAAAGGAAAAAAGAAAGAGAAACAGATGTTGGGGTCTGCGTTTGAGTCAAAGCTCTTGTTAAAATGAAAAATAACGGAAGGAGGATAATACTCGTGTTTGGTAATAGTGGTAATGGTGGTAGTGGTTGTTGTGTGCTGTGTATGCACGACGACTCGTTTTTTCATTTTACTCCCCTTTTTACTTTGTAATACATGATGTATTATTATTATTGTTGTTGTTATTGTTTTGTTGTTGTTTATTTTTATTTTTTTCTTCTTCTTCTTCTTTTATACCTTCCAAAGCTTTGCGTTTTTTCTTTTGTGTAATGAAGCTTAGCCACTCCCTGTTATAAGCAACAACGTAAACGACCCCTGACTATAAATTTAATCGACAATCTCTTCCTCTTTATCGATAAATCCGATCAATAGTGTTCCCCATAACTGTGCGAGCATTTTGCGCTTGCCCTTTTCAACGCTAACAACGTCGTCGTCGTGTCGTTATTATAATTTTCTTTTTTTTTTCTTTTTTTATTTTATACAAAGCCAGAGAAAAAAAAAATAGGAAAAGAAAAAAGAATTCGATGTAATGGTGTGAAAAGGTTGCAGGGTCTCTCTTGCGTGTAAGAATGCATGTATACGTTTTTACTGGGAAGATACTGTTACGATATTTGAGTTAGAGATAAATGAAAGTATGTGTGTATTGTAGATAGGAAATATATCGTATTTAAGGGCAGATGTGTCCTTTTTGAATGTTGCATGTTCGTATAAAACGGAAATACGTTTTTTGATACCGAAGAATGTATTCGTAAAAAATGTTATAACGAAACAGAAAACTGTTTAGTACGAGAATTAATGCAATGCGATACAGAATATTAACATTTATAGTTGTATTATGTGTATATACACATGCGTGTATCATCCATATGCTCGTGAAGAGAATGTTGATGTAATACCATCCGTGATACTTTACTACTCATATTCAAAACATTGTTTTGATTGATCCAATTAAACTGTAATTGTTTAACAACGAACGGATTGTCGTAAAAACATAACAGTAACATCCTTTCTTTCTTTTTTCCTTTCTTATCGTATATGAAATCCTTGGTGTTATTTGAATTTTTAATAATGAAACATTGAATTGTAATTGATTAATAATCGCAAGGCAAGAGTTAATCAGAAAGACGAAAGGTTAAATAAATTATCGAATGTAAAAGCAAATGATAAAGTTCATGCACTCTTTCATTGCTTTTAAGACTTCGTTGTTTATGATAAATGTGTTTTTTAGTAGAAATATGTTCTACCATTTATAGTTAATCCCTTAGAACATTCGTAAATTGTATTAAGATGAAGTTTTGAGATATTAGAGGAGAGTCCTCTCATTGGTCGAATGTAAAAGTGAATCTGAAAGGGGAAGACCAAAATAAACTCACCCAAAAGCCGAGATTCACCCACACGAGGGCGTACTTAACAAATCCGTAACACTTGGGGAGCACCATGTTTTATTGTTTCCTTTTTTCCTTTCCTTCCCTTCCCTTCCTTCCTTCCTTTCTTTTTATCTTTCTTGTTTGCTTTTCTTTTCTTTTTCTTTATCTCGTTTTGACTGCTCCGAAATGGTACGTTAACGAAGTCGTTAAGAAAAAACACTGTGCGAAACGAAATGTTTTTTCTAATTCTGCTTCTGTGTATTAAAAATCGGTCGTTTAAATCAAACACCCTTTTAATATTCCTCAATACGATTTTGAAAAACACTGTCGATATTAAATTCCAGATTAACGAATATCAACAAAAACCTCGAAATGCTTTGACTCGTTAATCAGGAATGAATGATGATTTTACACGAACTAAATCCTCCATGCCACGCAACGCGTCGCAGCCGACTGGCAATCGACAAGAGCGTCACGCGTTCCTTCCATGGCCGCACGCGCTGGATTTTTCACGGCAAAGGCGTGCTCATCTCGTTCGAAAGGCCTACTGACGTCAACCGTTAAAAGCGAAAATTATATTACACGTTCCCTTGCATATATATCCTTCTTCACGTCTATCTTTTATTCTTCCGCGCACGCGCTGCTTTTCTCTCATCTTAATTTTGAACAATATTTATCATTTCAATTTTTTATTTTCGCATCCTTCTAATAATTTCTATTAAATCTTCTTATCATATTAATATCACGGCAAACGATTGTAAAATTTTAATGTTATTTAAAAATTTTCTAAACGGATCGTTGTATAGAATATACTTCTATTATTTGTTAATGATTTTGGATAAAAAAAATAGGAAGAATGGTTCTTTTGTCTATGTCAACAGAGGACATGGTTGAATGTAGGTATAATGATAGAGGAGGATTTTTATGCTTGTTTTATCGTTCCTCAAACGTTTTCTTCATTCATATACTATTCTTAAAGATTAAATATATATTTTTTGTTCTTGTATACACAATTTAATTGAATTTCTAATATATTCTATCTATCTCTTCTATCCCTTTCCTCTTATCAATATCCCCGTTTATGTCTATCGTGTTTATTCTCAGCATTGTATGTGGCGTACGATAAACTGAAATAATAAAATGATTTAGAAGGGGTTACGGATGATTACAATCATTTTTTAATATAGTTATTTTGATCTCGTCATTAATCTTACAGTTTAATCTACGGTACTGTTTCCTTTTCTTCATCCTAAAATGATACTTTGTACTTGACAATGTTTTTTCAATGACAGTAGCATTGATCGATACCAACTCTCCATTTAAGATAGGCTTTCCTATGAGAGTGAAATCTGTGCCTCCTACTAGCAAGACTTTTTCAAGTTTTATTTTGTCACCTATTGTAGGAGGCCAGTGTCCTTGGATAATTATGATATCGTTCTCAGTTATTTTAAATTGTTTACCGCACAGGTGAACGACTGCAAATAATCTACCTACTTTGTCCATTGCTATCTGCTTGTTGATTTCCTTTGTTACATCTGAAAATAAAAGTTTCTTGTTGTGTTTCTTATAGTTTCATATGATTCATTATATAAAAATATACCCTTCATTATCTTTTCCTTCTCTTCATCAATTTCTGGTACTTCGACTTGATGTTTTGGTATAGGAGGCATCCATCCTAAACGTGTAATATAAGTAGCTCTTCCAGGTTCCCACAGACTTAGTGCTGACAAAAAGAATTATCTAATTACACTTCACATTCATATTTATTTCTTCTATGCTACATAAGTTATAGTTCCTTTACTAAGCTCTAAAAAAAATATACTTGATACTGCAACTTAATACTTTAAGAAAAGAAACCATGGAAGTTTAATTCTATTTATACATATAATTAGATGTAAACGTCATAAATTTATTTGTATATTGAACATTCAGAGCAGAGTAAAGAATTGAGGTTATACTCAACTTTAAATTCTTGTGACTGCAACCGAGATCTTAAAAATAATATAAATGAATATTTGTATTACCTGAATTTGTTGTTCTGCATATTGTAGAAGGTGTTAATTTCTTGAAACAATTATTGGCAATTAATTTAAATGCATTTGAAAAGATAGTAAGTGCCGCCATGTTTTTCGAGTTGTAAACTACTGCCGATATCAAATCAATATTTATTTTAATTAATAACAGTAAATATGAATAATTTTTTGCGTTTAAAAAAAAGAGAGGGAAAATAAAATTAAAAAATGCATACCTTACGAATTATTATTAAACGAATACAATTAATATATTCTCGATATGTAAATAACTAAAGAGTTAATTGATACCTTTAGCGATTAATTAAAAATAATTCGATTAAAAGATTAGAATTAACTATGATTTTAAATGATTAGTAAAATTGAAGAATATTGTAAATAATGACAAATATCTTACAGAATTATGGACGGTGAAATATCGTTTATATATATCAATTTAAATGAATGTAAAATAATTATTTTGAATAAACGCGGGCAGACACATTCGAAACAGAAATTGTAGTTCCGGGGGAACGCGTAATATAGCGCGGAGATGTCGTATGTGGTAAATCAGGCAAACGGTTACTTGTTATGTTTAGCAGTTGTGCTCGTTCGTACTGCGAAGAATCGATGAGTGTTGTATTATTTTAATTCTTTTTTGGGCGCTTTTTAGTAGCCGCGAAATTCGAAATATGCAGTTTTATAAAGAAAAATTACTCTCGCCCGGACAATTAAAGCGATTAAGCGAGCACAAATATAGTTGCACAACCAATAGTCTATTGGATGCATTTCTTCAACCCTGGTGGGACTGGCTAGTCAGCAAGGTTCCACTTTGGCTTGCACCGAATTTGATCACGGTTTTGGGTCTAATTGTCAATATTGTTACTACATTGATATTAGTTTATTATAGTCCTGATGCTAAAGTTGAGGTATATATAACCTAAGTTCTTCTTTCTTATCATATCATATCATGCATACATGACTGACCATTATACTGCAAATTAAAAGATACCAACATGGTCTATCAAAGACAAATTATCTTCCTTTATATGTTTCTATTTAATAAAACTGTTTTATCATTATATTCTTTTCTATATTTCTCTTTTGACAATGACAATGACAGTGACACTGACAGCAAAATTGCCAAATATGATATTTTTTATTTTCTTAATACCATATTTTTCCTTGTCATGCTCATTAATTATTCATCTAATTAATTTTCATAATTATTTATTCGTTGCCTGTTCAGATATAATTATTTAGATTTGTAATGCTCTCTTATTACTATTGTTTAATAAATTGTTGTTATTATAGGCACCTAGGTGGGCATGTTTCTTATGTGCATTGGGTTTATTTATTTACCAAAGTTTGGATGCTATCGATGGCAAACAGGCTAGAAGAACTGGTACCTCTACGCCTTTGGGAGAACTGTTTGATCATGGATGCGATTCAATATCGACAGGTAAATTATTTCATTATACTCCTAATATTAATACGTACTCTCTTTTACCTTTTAATACTATTTTATATATTCTTTTACTTTTCAGTATTCGTAGCATTATCCGCTTGTATAGCCGTACAGTTGGGATATTATCCAACATGGATGTTCTTTCAATGTTTTTGTGCAATGACTTTATTTTATTGTGCACATTGGCAAACTTATGTCTCAGGTAAATGACATTTCATTTTTATAATGTTACTATACATTTGCTGTACGCTTTGTATATTCATATATATATTTTTGTTCGTTAACAGGATCTCTAAGATTTGGTAAAGTGGATGTTACGGAAGCCCAGTTCACCATCATAGGAATACATCTGATATCAGCCATTTTTGGACCTAGAATTTGGATGATGGAGGTTGTATCTCTTTTTTTTTCCATCGCATTTCATCTATCTTAGATGTTCATTATTTTTTTTATTTTTTTAAGACTATTTTATATTTGAATTTTAGTTGTAACGAGTTATGCATACCTTTTACAATTATTAGTTCACATATCGCGTATTTTCATCCAATTGTTTTATTTTTTTTATATTTTCTTTAACCACGATTTAAGCATAGTCTCACCTCTATTTGCTATGTATATATATATGCACATATATATATGCACATATATAATTTATTTTCATTACCGACAAAGGAAGCACAAATAATCACAAGTAATCTAGACATTGTATGGCTAGCAAACAATACATCCAGAGAAGGATTAAATAAGGTAGTTAAAAAAGAAAAAAAAAAAGGATACCTAGAATTTTTCTCACCATTTTGATGCTTTTTTTTTAAGCGTGTTTAACTATGCTAATATCATATTATGTACAAAGTCAATATCTTCAAATCAACCCTCTCACGTATATACATACTCTAGTTTAGTTGACTCTAATAGATTTATTATTATCATTATCATTATTATTATTATTATTATTATTATTATTATTATTATTTTACAGATTTTGTAAAATTTTTATTTATTTATTTAATTGTTTAATCTTACACTTACAAAAAGTTGATATTCTCGTATTATTTATTACATTATTAAATCAAATATTTGCATACACGAATGTTAATAATGAAACGAAAGGAATTAAAAAAGAAAAAAAAAACAAAGAAGAAGAGAAGGAAGTAGGAATAGAAATAAAATAGGATTTATTTTTTACATATATATATATATACCTATTTTGGTTGTTTAATTCAATCGATGACTCATGGAGTTTGAAAAGAGAATATTAAAACCGGTGATTATTAATTGCATGAGTCTAACGTGAACGTTTCTTCCAGATACCATACATTGATGGTTTTCTGTTGAAATATTTAATAGGAGTTATGACAGTGGTGTGTGCTCTGGCAAACTTATATTCCATATTTTCGGTGATTTTCACCGGAGGAGTTGGGAAGAATGGTTCGACTGTCGCTGTAAGTTCGTTTAATTAGACACTTTTTTCGGTTGAACATAAGGAATTGGGATCGGCATGGCATGAAGAGCAGTGCTGGAAGTACTTCTATATATATATACATATGTATATATAATATATATATATATATATATATATATATTTATATATATTTATCTATATATATGTATATATTTATCGCCAATACTTAACAAAACTTTCGAACACGTTACCTTCATTACATATCCCTATAATTATCCTTCGTCAGATTGTTATTTTTCTTTTTCTTTAAAATCAATCAAATTCAACATCAATATTCTAATTTTCCTTGCCACGATATCTAATTTTGCTTTCAATATTTCCACTACGTAGATTCGTACGTAGTTTAATTACCTTTTATATTAATACTACATTGTTTTTTAAGTTGTTTTATTACTAACAAGGGATAATAAGAGTTTTATATTTGTCCGACGAGAGGGGCAGAAGTCTGGGGAAATTCCGTTTATATGCGTAGAATATAAAAAGAAAGAAAACGAATAGAATAAAAAAAAGAAGAAAAAAAAACAAGCAAACGCTTAGACACAACAATTAAGTTTTTGCAATGGTAGAGAAAAATGTTCCGCTCGAATGCAAATGAATAACAATGCAACCTTGTCTCTTGTAACATAACGAATAATATCTTTTAAGTTTATTTCCTTCTGTGTTTCTTCTTTTATTTTATCATTATTATTATTATTAAATATACAGTTCTTAAATGTACTCTTTTCTTGCTGCAATTATGCTCTCGTTGTTTCTTTTCTTTTTTACTTCTCTATCAATCGTCATCATACTTGATGCTTTTTTTGTAGAATTTATTATACAAAAATGCGACTTTACGATATTGTCACACATTTTTTTTCTTTTTTATATCTTTTGATTATATGAATTTCTGATGCATCGAGAAGAATTTTCTCTTTTTTTTTCCCTCAATTAGAATACGTTCTCTGTATGATTAATACCAATTAGTTTCATTTTTGTTTTTCTCCTTCTTCTTCTTCTTCTTCTTCTTCTTCTACTTCTTCTAATATTCGAACGCGATGAAATTTATTTCTTCAAACATTTTTACTTAACTATTTCTTTTAAATTACGTTTGAAATTGTTTTGTTAAAATGCTACACTTTCGTTCGATCCACGATTCTTTTCCTTCTTCCTCCTCTTACCACCACCTCCTCCTCCTCCTCTTCCTCTTTTGCTTATATTTTTGCATTCGTTTTTTTCTGTCGATTGATTACGTAATACAATATAAAAAAAAAACAATAATAAAAGAGAAAACACATCAGCAATACACAACAAGAACAACCACGAACTACTACTATTACTACTACCAATCAACTATAAAACTATCCAACGAGAATAACAACAATCAATCAACGAGGAAGAGAACACGATACAACACTCTTACTTAGCAATTAATTGTGCTTCCTTTTTGAGTATATATGCCTTTCTGATAAAAAGAAAAAAAAAAGGAAAACAAATTATAATAAAAAGAAAAGAAAAGGAAAAAAGGAAATATTAGATTACAGGTATAGGAAAAATATCTTCAATGGCATTTATATATGACGACGATAGTCCACAAATTTCTAAGAAATTTCGATTATAAGAATAGATGATCAGTATGGATTTTTGGTTGAAGATTTAGAATTGTGCAAAATTTCTCAATTGTTTTCTCAACATCCAACTCTTAATGGGGATATATTATTTTGACCTTTTTTTTCGTCTAATTTGTCGTCCCAATTGGTTTTGCGATACTCGACGATCAAAGGGGAGGATTGTGAATTTGGTTTATATATATGGTTTCAAAATTTCGTTAGACGTTTGTCTCTTTTAAATCTTTTTAAAACACTGTGAGGAGAAATATTATCGATAGAGGACTCGAGATTGGATGGGAAATATAAATTAAACGATTAAATTTAATTGCATTTCTTCCCCCCCCCCCGTAACCCTAATATTTATTTCTTCTTTCCGTCTCAATGATAGGGGGATCTTCTTTTTTTTAAAAAAAATATAAAAGAGTAAGATTTTAATGGATTTGTTTAGATTCCTATGCTCGGTCTGGGTACGCTAAGTTGTTACATGGCAGCGATATTTTACGTGGGCTACACTCACGTATTTCTTCAGTTTTGTAAAGTCTTTGAATCTGGTGGAATTGGAAAGAACGGTTCGACCATTGCAGTAAGTTCGAACAAAATGAAAAATCATCAAATATATAACAAAAAGATATTAAGATATATATTATAAAAATACGAATAATTTGAACAGAAGAAGAATATTGGTTGTTCGCAACAACGCGAGTATCCGAACAAACGAATGTTGTTTTTTAAAAATATACAAAAAGGAAAGCAAACGAACGAACAAACAAACAAAAAAAAAAAAAGAAAAGAAGAAGATACGACTAAATAATTTCTATTGTAGTTATTTATTATTTGCCAGCCATAGTAGTTTTGTTGTTTTATTTCTTTTCTTTTTTTTTTGTTTTTTCTTTTCTCTTAGAACAATTTTGTATTCACCAAACTTCTGCAACAAATTTTCTTGCGCTTGATAATAATTCACTTTTTACTCTCTTTCTCTCTTTCTCTCTCTTTCTCTCTCTTTTTCTCTCTTTATCTCTTTATTTTCGACAACTATTCTATCCCTAATTACCAAACTTCTTGATCTAACTATTACTAATTAACAATGATGATTTCCATTTGATAATATAGGATGCTAAAATAAAACTTTCGAAACTGAAATCGTAAGATTTGGCAAAAAAAAGGTCTTGAAATGTGGTTTGATATCATTCAATACAATGTGAATTCTAATTCAATCTAATTCGATTGAAATTTGTTTCTATTTCGTTAATTGTGTGCCCATAGCACGCGTGTAATACTACTTCGATGATATTTTTTATGGATAATAAGAGTTCCTCCCTGTGTACACGTGAGGTTTTGATGGGAAGGTCGAATCGAATGTTCTTTACAATTATTTTATTATCGAATTTATATATTATAGGAGGAGAGTGTAGGGGATATTATAGAATGCAATGTAATTAACCCTTCCTTCTTTATTATCAAAATTGTCTCATTTTTTTTATTTTCGATTGGTGATTATGGGTCTAACGAATATGTATATACATATATGGTTTCAGGGTCACTTTAATCTATATTCGTCTATATCTATTTCTATATAGTCAATCTTTCTAATTTACATACTTGTTTTATCTATATATATATATAAATCAATTACTGTTTGTGTCTCAATCAAATCTTTCTCTCTCTTTTTTTCTCAGTCTTTCTAAAGACACTTTTATTGTTAGAGATGTGTGTTGATACAAAAAAAAAAAAAAAAAAAAAAAAAAAAACGACCACCATGTGTTGAGAAAGAGATTGAAAATATTCACTCTGCTTGATGTTGAAGCTAACTAACGGAAAGATGTTTCGTATCGCTCATGCAGTTGCCATATACTGGCACAGAGGTCAAGATCTTTCCATTATGGGCCGCCGTGGGCATCGCTATTTTACTTGCACAAAGCAGTATATCCGTCATACTTGCCGGTGGTGTCGGAAAAAATGGCTCCACCGTCGCAGTAAGTGTTGTCAGAGTTTTCATTTCTCAAAAGTATATTCTCTCCTTAAAGCGTCCCACCACGTGTGTAGTGCACTTAAATAATAATAATATTTATCTTTTATTTTTTTTTTCTTTCTCTCTCTTTCTTTCTTTCTTTCTTTTTTTTTTTTTTTTTTTTTTGGTTTAGCCCCAAGCAAATTTATTCCATGATTAATATTTTTGTGTTATATTAATTCGTGTATATTAAGTTGATTAATACGAATTTACACATGATATATTTTTATATTATGTGTGTTACCATCATCGTATATATTTTTATTATACATTAGGAGATTAATTATTTCATCATTATTATTATTATTATTATTATTTAAGTTTTTATTATTTCTTCTTCGTTACATTTCAACGTTTTGTATACAAATTATTTCTAACATTTGAAAGAGGAAATGGAATAGAGGAAATGCAACCGTTGTGTTGCACCATTGTTTAACCCTTTCTTAGCAACCCTTATTATAATAGGAATCTTCTATGGAAAAATCCCTTGTATGATGACCATGATACATGGGATGTATAAATTCTTGCATTGATACTATCGTATTGATGTTGATAATAATCTTTACAAAAAAAAAAAAAGATATCCGAAAGCCTGACTTATTTAGTATTCTAATGTTTAACAATTGGATGAGATCAAAAATAACAATACGTTGCAATGTTACGAAGGATTTCCAAAGTTCGTTTGTGTTAGGTTGCTTCTGATATTGGCTAGATCGCAATTAATAAAAAAAAAAAAAAAAAAAAAAAAAAAAAAGAAAAAAAAAAAAGCAAAAACAAAAAAAAAAAAAAAAAAAACCCCCCGAGAAAAAAAAACCAAGAAATTTATAATATCGCCTGCTTATTATTGTTAGTATTTTGACCATAAATAATTCCCTGNAAAAAAAAGATATCCGAAAGCCTGACTTATTTAGTATTCTAATGTTTAACAATTGGATGAGATCAAAAATAACAATACGTTGCAATGTTACGAAGAATTTCATTAATTAATCATTATTTTTTTATATCTTATTTTGCATGTGATGGTTAAGGAAAAAAAAAAAAAAAAAACAAAAAGATATAAAATAATGCCAAAACAAAACGAAAAAAAAAAAAAACCCCCCGAGAAAAAAAAACCAAGAAATTTATAATATCGCCTGCTTATTATTGTTAGTATTTTGACCATAAATAATTCCCTGTGCTTCGAATCTAATGAAATATCTTCTTCTGGTTAGTAGTGTGTCCCCGATCAAAGGCAAATCAAGGTTTTTTACTGCAAGTTTACCACGAACAGCAACAACAACAACAATAACAACAATACATCTTCCTCTTTATCAATTTTACTTACTTGTTCTAATCGACACACGACGAAATTATACAGAACTGGGCCTAAATCTTATTATATCGACAAACCCAAAAAATTAAAAACAAAAAATAAAAGAGAAAATGATCACACGACATTGTTACGTAATAATACACACTTTGTTCGTATTATATCACCAATTTTGTGCTGTTTTCAATAAGGTTTATTATATTATACACCCACACACTCAAAACGCGTATATTTATCTTCCTCTTTGTATCTCTCTCTCTCTCTCTCTCTTTGTTTCTATCTATATCTGTCTCTGTCTCTCTCTTTCTTTCTCTCTCTCTCTCTTTCTTTCTCGTAAGGATTTGATCATTTAAAAGAAAATTTTAGGACGTGTATTTGTTCTCTTTGTATACCTCGTCAGTTTCCACCTTTCCCACCCTCCTGCATTCCACTTTCCTCCCACGTTAACTTTCCAATCCAAAAAAAATGTTTGTCTGTCGAATAAATTGTTTTCCAACGAATCTTGCATGAAATTTATGGAGAAAAAAATCTTAGTAATTGTTTCAAATTTATGCAGCAAAATTTGTTCTAATTACGTGTCTTTTTTCCTCTTGCGTTGAGAGAAAACACTTCTCTCTTTGTTATTTATTTCTATTCGTAAGATAAATGTTGCGCATCTTTATCAATTGAAATTGTTTTTCTATACTTTGTTGGATTTTTCCCATATTCTTTTCTGTCGCTCTAGCTCACGTTTATATATTTTGTAAAAACTATTTTTCTTATTGTAATATTCTATGCATGCACTATTTTTGCTAGCACTGCTTTGCTTTAATTATATGTTTAATAACTAATTTGATCTAATGCATCTTTAATAGGATTAAATATTAGAAAAGGAGACCGATAATTAATAATTACTGTTCGTTCAAATTTTTCACTTATCTTTTTTTGTTTTTCTATATTCTATTTAATCGATTAATTATTTATTTTATTAATTAATTAATTAATTATCGATCTCTTATTGCATATATATTATCTCGATTGCTTTTGCTTGTTAACTTTTTTAAAGAGTTCTCAAATTTTGCGATATGAAATGTACAAAAAAAAAAAAAACAAAGTCAATATATATATAATTTTTTTTTTTGTTTGCGTTAAATACAATTGAATTTTTTCTTTTAGTTAAATTTGTTTAGTGTGTCGTATTTGATTATTATTAGATGAGTATAATAACAAAAAAAAGAAAAAAACAAAAGACAATTTTTTGATCTCAAAAAAAGTATACAAAAATATCACAATTCGTTTAATTAATTATTTTCTTTTATGATGATATAATAGAATTTTACTGCATAACAATGATTACAAATTTCAGGGAACATCGGTACTGTCGCCGATCATCCCATTTAGTTTCGTGGTAGTGCCAGCTTTCATTATTTATAGAAAAAGTGCTGAGCACGTATACGAAAATCATCCTGCTCTGTATATACTTGCATTTGGGATGGTTGCAGCTAAAGTTACCAATCGATTGGTGGTAAGTGTATTTACATATATATATATATTATTTAATCATTAAAAAAATAAAACACAGAAAAACATTTATATAAATGTTTCAATTGTATATCTTACATTTAATACACAATGTGTAATATAATATATAATATAATTATTTCTTGATATTACAGGTTGCTCATATGACGAAAAATGAGATGCAATATTTAGATAGTTCCTTGATTGGTCCAGCAATGCTGTTTCTTAACCAGTACTTCAACTTTTTTATCAAAGAGTACTACGTTCTCTGGCTGTGTTTCGTAAGTGCTGTTTTTTATTCTCCTATTTTATTTTTTTTTTTTTTCTACTAAAAAGAAAAAGAAACAAAAATCAACCGGTGCGTGTACAAAAATTCCAAAAAACTCCAAAAAATCGAATCTGATCTGTGTTATTTAGATTTGGGTCACGTTGGACCTTCTGCGATATAGCTCTCAAGTCTGCCTTGAAATTTGTGATCATATGAAGATAAAGCTATTCAGAATACCTGTGGGGGATCATCGGAATGTCGGGCCTCAGCTTAACGTCGCCGAAAAAAATGGTACTAATAGGTCTCAACGTAACAAATTGCAAAAGAAACACCACTAAGACTTAATTGTGATAATAAATGATCTCTGTATCATTTAATATATATATATATAAAATTAAGAATAAACAACAAACCGGGAATAAGAGTTTAAGTGTTGAAAACAAAAAAAACAAAAAGTCATTAGAGTATGATTTTGTAGTTTTAAAATGAAACTTTCCAATTGATCTGTACAAACGATGTTGAATTATTACGATTTTTCCAAAAGAGTATATATAGCTCATTTGTTATCACATTAATTATTATAATAATATATATATATATATATAGTTAGCTATTTTTTCCGTAAAACGATTTAGTCAAATTCGAATAGATGATATAAATCAAATCGTTCGTATCTACGATGATATATCGTTGTCAGGTATATATAGTTTAATAGTAAAAGGGAAATATAAACGTTACGAGTAAGGTGTAACTTGCTCTAATGCGTTAATATTAATATAACATTACAAAATTTATTATTTAATTAAAAAAATTTCCTTTACTTTTTTGTTTTATTTTGTAGGCTTAACGAGGAAAGATTTAATTAAATTAACTGCATCTCGGTGAACGATCGATGAAATCCACGGTGATCAAAAATTTGGCAAATTATCTCTATGATTCGGTACTTATAATTGGAAACGATAAAATTGGGTTTAGCGTAGACGAAAGAAAAAAGAAAAAAGAAAAAGAACATAACAAGAAAAGGAAGAGAACAAATGGATTTTAATTATTTAGCCAAAAACAAGAAAAAAATCATAAATTATACGAACGGTTTGACTAGAAAGAAAACGCAGAAGCCAGATTGCACTCTTACTTCGTTTTCTCTTTTGCTAATTTAACATATAACAAAAAAAAAAAAAAAAGGATATAAATATATATATATATATAAAAATTAATTATTAAATACAATATATTATATATATATATATATATTATATAATATAATATAGAGAATTATCGAAATTTATTTTGATAATATTTCTGCCTTTTGCAGAAATGTCCTTTGTAAACTTTGGAGATACTGATATAAATAGGTATTAAGTTCATTATGATATACATATTACGTATATATATTATAGATAACACTCCTGAATGAGATGATGATATTTATTTCTCAATATTGTCTCTATGTGTTTGACATTTTTTTTTGTCTTGCACCCGCATACCAATATTCTAATACATATATGTATATACATGTATATATATACATATACATATATGTATAAATCAAATCATTATATTTCTTTAATCCTATCTAATAATTAAAAAAAAAAAAAAAGAAGTAAAACACATAGAAAATTCTATTAGATGGTATGATTTTTTTTGTTGAATGTTGAAAATTTTAGTTGCAAATGAAATGATTTCTTTCTTTTCAAAAAGACACTTTTATTCTAGCACTCTATACACGTTCAATAATATAATAATGGTAATAATTTAATCATGGCATTGGTGTGTAATACTATTGTCTCATATTTGTCTCGTTAACGTATATACACATCCTTTTTTCTTTTTATTAATCTCTTATTATATCTGTATATGTAATATATTATCGATTTGTACATACATTGTAGATGATAAAATGGTAAAAGAAAAAAAAAAAGAAAGAAATAAGAAAAAACAAACAAAAGAGAAAAGATATTAATTCAGGAAATAGCGTTCTTTTTTTTTTTGAATACGTTAAAAATCATTAATGGACAAAATATTAATGCACGTAGTTCGAGATAATAATAATAATTTTATATATATATTTTTTTTTTGCATTAGGATTGATTGCGTTTATGTTATATATTTTGATCTAAGGTTTCTTTAGGAAAGATTACGATGATCCAATATGTTTCTTTTTCTATTTTTCTATTTTTTTGTTTTTTTTTTTTAAACATCGATCGAACGAAGTTTTTAATAACAATAATATATTAATATCAGCTTTGTGATGTATTATCTCGTAAATGGAAACAAATACCTTTTATATTAATTTACACACCTGTGCTTTGAATCATCTTCTTATTTCACATTTTGCGGTAGAATGCATTGGGTAGAATTTAAAAAAAAAAAATATACGTTTATAGGGAATTGTAAGTAAAAAAAAAGAAAAGAAAAGAAAATAAAAGAAAAGAAAAAGGAGAAAGAAGAATAAAACAAAAAATAATGTAATCTTCGATGAACGAATTTGATTATCATCAAATTTTCACGACGCCATGACGTACACTGATATGAAGAAAAAAAAAGAAAAAGAAAAAAAAAACCCATAATGTTCCAACGATAATATTAAACTTCGTTCTCTATCTATTATTCTTTTTTTTTTTTTGTTTTTTTCTTTGTTCTTGCAAATTACACATTACATCGATATAAAAATTTACGAGAGACGAGCAGCTTTTGTTATCTGCTTGAATTTATTATTGTTCCATTTGTTTATTCTTTTTAATTTTTAATCTTTGTGTTATTATATTTTTCTTTTTGTTATAAAGTGGTGAACTGAAAAAAAAAAAAAGGAAACGAAGAGAAAAAAATGAAATGAGAAAAGAAAAGAAAGGAATAGGAAAAGTAATAAGAGAACGTACTCGGTATAAAAGTTCAGATTTTTGTGCATCGAACTCATTTTCTATCTCTCTTTCTCTCTTGTGTATTCTTTAAAAAAAAAAAAACAATATATTCTTCTTGATAAACGAGTTTACCACCATTTGCCATTTTTCATTTAATATAACCAAAATCTAATCTCGTAAAAAAAAAAGCAGCCACATTTTATATTACGCTTTAACTCTTCTATATCTATCTGTAAGCACTTTTGAAGAAAAAAAAAACAATTAATTTTTCGATGTGTTCATCGTAATCTATAGTTAGTACGCTTTATTTATGTTATTTCTTTTTTCATTCTTTTTCTATCTATCTTTTTCTATCTGTCTCTCTGTCTACATGTCTTTCTATTTCTCTATCTATCTCTGTCTTCTTTTTTCATTTTTCTTGTAGCTGTATACACGTAAGTATGTGTCCCACTGCGACTAATCAATTGAAAGAACAATAAACAAAAAACAAAAATAATTTAAATTGTTATTATTATTATTAATAATATATTTTTTTTTTTAATTTTCTTTTTTTATTTTATTTTAACCATTTCGTTACGTATTCGCAATTATTATATTTGTTTGTTGCCCATACGTATATCGTTGCATGATACGATCCCCAATTAAAATGGGTCAGTCGTTCGTACGGGGCCTTTGCATAAACAAACGACCCCGTTATATGGTGGGTCAGTCGTAACGAAAGGGTTAAATTTCATTTAATCTTCTCTATTTCTGATATGAATTATATTTTTTCTCTCTTGTTTCATTGATAACGGTTGCGTCACGGTTTAATGTTTAAATATATGTAAAGATTTGAATAAAATATTATTTTAGAAATTTATACGAAACGTATATCTTTGTAATTTTTCTCACATCAGTTGTTGCACTTCTATCTTTTTCACTCTCTCTCTCTCATTCTCTCTCTCTTTCTTTCTTTATATCTTTTTTTTTTCCTTTCTCGCGTGGCATCATTGCAATCTAAGCAATCACCACCACCACCACTCTTTTGTATTATATCAATATTAATTATTAATATATAACGCATTATTAACAATACTTTTATGCAATGGTAACGTTTTTGCGAATGCTTGCTGCACGTTGTTAGTTTGTGGCATCTAAGTTTGAAATCGATTAGTTAAAAATACAACAAAAATAAATAAATGCACATAAATATCTTTTCTAATCGTTGTTGTTCGTAATTTTTGCAACCCGTATGCTGCTAATAAACTTTTTACTTGATAATTCAATAACAATTGATTACAACAATCTACGAGACGATGATAATATTTTAACGGAATGTTTGCACGTTTTTTATTTTGCATGAAGGAACAAAATAAAATTAAAAATAATTAAAAAAATAAAACAAACGCACAAAAAAAAAAAAAAGGAAATAATTAAAAACGATGCGTTTGAATAGTGTACGTCTCTTTCGTCTATCTCGATCTTTTTTTTTCTTTTTAAGATTGTTGAACGTATGAAATTTTTTTTAATGTTAAAAAAAAGAAGAATAAAAAATCTGCGAACGATAAAAACGTTATTGTTACGAAACAAAAAGCTACGTAACATACATTTGTTATATCGTTTAATTTAACACGTTGACTGTCTAGTGAGCAAAATTTATTAACAATAATATAAAAACAATGTAGAAAATATCGGTGGACTTCACACCTCCTGCTGTGGCCATGATTGACAGAAAAAAATGTCGGTCATGGGTGATGACAACCCCCCTCAGCCCCCTCTTATGGCAGTGAACGTGTTAAATCTACATCTATCCCTATTTGTATTGGTATGCATGAAGAGTTTTGTTCACAGCTCACATGGTCATCGAACAGGAACCGCTGTTAAACGAAGATTATCATCATCATCATCATCATCGTGGCTCTGATACGACAACCCTCGACATCTGACGTTTACTACCCCCCTCCCAACCCCCATAGCGCATGGTGGTAACACCGAACACGTACCACCAACGTATTATATTTAAAACTTAATTTACAATTTAAAACACGATGTGAATTGTATAAATAAGAATTTAAAAAAAAAAGAAGAAGAAAGAAAAACAAAATACCGCGCGAAAGGGAGTTCTTTACTTAAAAACTATATGAAAGAAAAAAAAAATGAAAATAAAAAAAAGAAAAAAAAAAAAAAAAAAAAAAAAAAAAAAAAAAAGCAATGAACTATAAAAAAAGTATATCTTAAATGTCAAAGTCGGATGTACAGTATTTTTTACTAGCGTCGAGAGTACAACGGGTTAATGCAAACAAAACAAAACACAAATAAAAGTAATAAAAAGGTATTTGCATACTATATAATATTAAAACGTATACGAGGAAAAAAATCCTACGTATAAACGTTTGTGCGAAGGTTATTTATTTATACGTATATATATATATATATTTCACTCTTATCAGCGGACGTTGAGAATTGTTATACTTTATTTTCTTTTTTCACTTTTTTTTTCTCTATTAACCGAGAATATCTTTACCAAAACGTTAATTGGTCATTTATTGTTTAAATTAAGTGCAACGGAACTATTGTAATTATTTTTTCCTTACGATTAGTATTACAGTTGTTTGTTTGTTTGTTTTTTTTAGACCGTCCTCCTTTTTCCTCAATCTTCTTTTGTAATCCTTTTTTTTTTCTATATATATTTTAAACGAGCACATATCTTTTAAGAAATTGTTTATGTATTTTTTTATAATATACCACGATCTGCTGCAGCCCGTAATTATAAATAAAATAAGAAACATAATAAATGTTTACGCGCGAGGAGAGGGGAAGACTCGTGCTGACATTATTGTATTAACTTATGCATTTTTGTCTATTAACATATGTGTATTATTTGTCTAAGCTTAATGAAAATGAACAAAATAATAATTAATAAGTCAAATTAATGAGAAGAACAAAAAAACATTTGTATAATCGTTCCGACGATCTAATCGTGAACACATTTCATTAATTATGATGCATCATTACTTACAACGATCGCAAAAAAATGTATTATAACTGAACGTTAAAGAATGAATTTATGAAATTCGTCGTTTGAAAATTGCGTTGCGTTAAAATAACAAAATAAAACAACAACAACAACAACAATGAGAAAAGTTATAAACTTTTCACCGTCCACTGATAAATCTATCGTCGTGCAGAACACACAAAATGTAAGCGGTAAAAGTAATAATATTAATAATAATAATAATAATAATAATATATGAGATCCCCAAATTGAACAGCTGTGTCGATTTAATTATCTTTCATAAAACACCTCGTACATTCCAAACGCGTAGTTATTACATTCCTTATTCACACAATAATTAACAACAACAACAAAAAATATATATATATATATATATATATATACATATAAAATAAACAGAAATAAAACTAGGAAAAGGATCGAAACTCTTGTAGTATAAATGGTTAGTTACATCATCGGGTTTAATTTTAGAAAATTACGAAAAGAAAATTGATAAATCACGTCTGGTAAAGCAAACTAGCAAGCAAGCAAGCAAGCAAGGCAAGCAATGAGAAGAGTAATTTTGCAAAAAGAAAAAAAAGAAAGAAAGGGTAAAAATAAAATGATATAACTAAACGAAAAAAAAAGAGAGAGAGGGAAAAAAAGGTAAGAGAGAGGGTTTAACCGGGCGCAAGGTAGGCCAAACCCTCGTCGTTTCGAGGGCGTTATTGATCGATTCTCTACTGGTAGTAAAGCTTAAACACAGAGAGAAGTTGGAGTTGGTTCTACGAGTTCGAAGCAGTAAGTAGCTTGGTGGTAGCACGTATAGTGTTATGTTCATGATTTGGAACTTGGTACAACGTTAAAAAAAGAAAAGAAATAAACAAATGCAAAACAACACACAGTAAGTGTTATTTTCAAATGGAAAATAATTAAATAACAATCGAGTCTCGATCACGTGGTAAAAACAATCTAATTGTGATAAGAAATTTGTTGACTATACACATGATGATCATGATGATGATCGTGATCGAAGAAAATAAAAAAGAAATGATGGTTTTTGTTTGTACAATTGTTTCGAGACGATGGCACTTGCTCGTACAATCCGCTCCTGTTAGTTTTGCGTCTGCTTGCTTGCTTGCTTGCTTGCCTGGATGAATAAGCAACGAGTATAGTGTGCGTGCTATCAGAAAACTTCTGAGTGATATCGGTTAGTTAGTTGTTCCGTAGGTTCCTTATTCGTTGGTTCACAACATTATTCCGTTGCTCGTTTGTTGGCAGGAAAATTAAAAAGTTACGCGGAATGTATCTACGTTCTAATTTCAAATTTCTTTTTATATTATTAATTCAAAAAACGCTTTACTAATTAACGGGGGAGATGTGTGGGAGGAAAATAACACGTAATGGAATTATCCTCGTTGACAGGTATTTCATATAAATCGTGTTTGTGTGCGTGCATGTGTGTGTGTTTGCGTGTAGTTAGCTTCCGTTAAGGATTTCATCACGTCTCGACATGTTACTTGTTCTATTTTTACGAAACATTTAATACACTTTTAATAATTACTTTTTTCATCATTTACGTGTCCCCATTGATAAAACGTAAGATTACGTAAAGGGCATGATCGATTTGGGTGATAATTAGTTAGGAGAAACGTCAATATGTCTGAGAGCGTCTCCGATCAATTATTAATTCGTTTCTCTGCACCCCCCCCTCCTCACCCCTTTTCCCCTTAATTAAAATTCATTTCTGATTATGCGTGTTAAATCTATCATTTTTATTTTCTATCATCTATTACGATTTTGATTCTATATCTCGTTGTGTATCCAATGTGTTTTTTGTTTTCTCTCTCTTTTGTTACGATTTATTATCATTCGAGAATCTATGGGATAATTGAAAGAATTTTCCTATTATCATAGGGTTTTATTTTAGCTCGAATAAAACATTTCAAGGGACCCCCCTCGACCTATTTTTTTTCTCTGTCAGTGGTGGTGGAAATGTTGGAAAGTGGTGGTGGTGGTGGTGGTGGTGGAGGAGTAGGAAAAAGGAGGTGGTGGTGGTTTTGATGCTGCTTAGAAAAACGCGAACAGTGCGAACTAGGGAAAGACGGTGAACGTGCGGATGCGCCACGGCGTTGCCCTTGCGTACAGAGAAATCAATAACTTTAATAGGAAAGTGCTGGGATGACGAATAGTGTCACGGTCAATTAACAACGTTCGCGATCGTTATTTGATTAGAGAATGATAGTCCTGGGAATTAGTATCTTTTTGTTTCACGTGATATTACGATTTAAGTAATAAATATCTGTGATCAAACGTTTCATTTAAATTGATTCTTAGGAATATTTTTAAATGACATAACTGCGTATGATCTTCGGGTCACCGTAATGTTAAGCTATAAATTTAAATAAAAAAAAAAAGAGAGAGAAGTTATATATTTAAATTTCGTTTTTAGGTTGACAAGACTACGACAGTAGATCGAAGAATGAAATAGCCATGATCGGATTAGGAAACGAGCTCGAAGATAATAATAATAATAAGCCATTGGCAGAATACTTTTCCATATATTCTATAAAACGGTGACAGATCATTCAATGGCAACCATGGATATACAAAAGAAACAACTATGTCCACGTTTGGTGGACTACCTTGCTATTGTGGGAGCACGATCGGCTCCGATTTCTCGTCAACCTGTGCAGGTATATATATATATAGATATATACCTTTTTTTGTTTAATATCTGATAGATAAAAAGTCTATGTTAATATTATTATTTTATTATTCTATTATAACTATAGGTTCCAGAATTGTTGCGCAGATATCCAGTGGAGGATCACAAAGATTTTCCTTTACCTCTGGATATGGTGTATTTTTGTCAACCAGAGGGTTGCAGCAGTGTTGGACCTAAACGCACAGCTTTAAGGGAGGCTACATCTTTCACTTTCACCCTTACTGACAAGGATTCCGGTTAAGATCCCGAAAAACTGAACAGAATATTATTATCCATTTGATCATTTAATTCTCTAATATTGTATATTTCTTTGTTTAAATAGGAAAAACAAGATATGGCATTTGCGTGAATTTCTATCGACCCATAGAAAGGGCTGGGACAAATGCACGGGGTGGTATTACAATGAGACGAGATAAATACAATACAACGTTTAGAAGAGAAAGTTGGAGGAAAAGTATGGAAAAGAGTACGGATTCAGCATTTTCTAGGTGAAACCTCATATCCTATATTTTCCTAATTATATTTATCCTTTAATTCTTTGCCAATCTGATGTTAGATCAATACGATTATGAGATTGTATCTCGAGGTGTTCCTTATAGCGACTATAGAAGCAGCGCGGTTGGTCCCAGTGATTCGGAAAAAGATTGTTCCAGTAGTAGAAGAGATTCTGACACTTCTCATGCACCTTATGCACCAAGATTAGGTGTTACAGCACCGAGTGGTGACAGTGAAAGTGGTGGCAGTCATTCTCCCTCGCCACGAGCTTCGCGAAGGCGACAGGTAAATATATTGTTTATTTATAAATTATTAATTAACGATAATTGTGAAATAATTTTATACATATATATACATATATTATTTTTTTCAGAGGATTCGAAATCATTCCTTGACGTCACTTTGTATTATTTCTCATCATCCATTTTTTTCGATGTTTCGCGAATGTTTGTTCGTTTTAAAAAAAATCATTGACGCGTGCAACGATAATTCGACTCCTCAAAAAGTAGGAGCTTCGAGACAAACTAATAGGTACATGTTATTATTTTTTTTAAATTATTATTACAAGATCAGAAACACATATGTAATTTATTTATCTATATTTCTTATCTTCAGAGATTCAGTTTGGAGTGTTCTCAGTGGTCAAGTTTTGGAAGGTACACCGTCCATCGTGTTACACGATATACGGGAAATAGAAACGTGGATTTTGAGATTGCTGAGCAGTCCAGTACCCGTACCAACGAAAACCCGTGTAGAAATAGAAGTAGTATCGTCGCATATACAACCACCACTTTGTTTCGCATTACCCGATCATACGAGATTTTCTTTGATTGATTTTCCTTTACATTTGCCTCTCGAATTACTTGGCGTTGAAATATGTTTAAAAGTTCTTACTCTCATATTATTAGAAAATAAGGTAAATTATTATTAACATTGATCTATATCGCAATACAATACATTTTCTATCCTAATAATTTGATTGTTGTTCCTACATTTCAGATCGTATTACAATCCCGAGATTATAATGCATTGTCGATGTCGGTAATGGCATTTGTTACGATGATCTATCCCTTAGAATATATGTTCCCTGCAATACCATTATTACCAACCTGCATGAGCTGTGCGGAACAATTATTACTTGCCCCGACACCATATATCATCGGAATACCTGCATCTTTTTTAATGTATAAGAAAAATTTCAAAATGCCCGACGATGTCTGGCTCGTGGATCTCGATAGCAATAAAATAACTGCACCTCCTGGTTCGGCGGATCAATTACCGGCCTTGCCTGAACCGGAAGGTACCATACTAAAGAACCATTTGAAACAAGTAAGTTTAATTAAATAATTAATTAAATATTCTTCTTCTGTCTCTATCTCTTTAAATCATATCGACGGTTTCTCTTTAAACCCTTTCGTTATTAACGATCCACTTAGGAGTCATGTGGTCTATGTATCTATACTAATGTCAAAGTAGATTGTAACGAAAGGGTTAATATCATATCGCACAATTAATCCCATCCACTATCTAATAATTCTAAATCCATTCGTTTCCGCAGGCAATGCAACTGATGGATCAAGTTGGCTCTGGTGTAAATATTCTATATTGGTCTCTTTTAGTTATATATATTTATTTAAATAATATTTATTTTACAGTAGTTAAAAAACAGTAAGCGGAATCTGTTGCAGTGTCGTAGTTAATCCCATTATTTTTTTCATTTTATACCTGCATAACGCGAAAGTCGCACCTTCCTTCCCGGAGAATCGATTTTTTCGGACGCATCGATTATATATTAGGTTGTCCCATAAGTTATTTTCGCGTCAAGCTATGTATGACTTCGAGCCGCATACAAAAAAAAAAAAACGGAAGGAAGTAACTTATGGGACAACCTAATACTATATTCCTTTCTTGTTTTTGCAATTATCCTATTAGTGCCATACGTATAGCTAATTTAATTGTTTTCTTTCAAGTAGAATTTCATTAAGTATATTATATATTTGAAGTTTATTATGACACGCTTGCAGTCATAGATTTTGTAGACAAGCCAGTCTGCTTTTTTTCCTTATTAATCATTATACATAATATATTTTCAGACAATGGGTAGTATGTCAGCTTCGCAAGCCATACCCCAAGACACTTGGCCCTCGCGATTGTCTTCTCAATCACCAAGCAGAAGAGAAAGCACAGCTTCTCAACATTATCAGAATTTAAGGTAAAGTTTAACAATGTTTAACGAACAAGTTTAAGTATCATTCTATTGTCCAATAAACTTCATATTATTTTTTAGCGTCTCGACAACGAGGAACAGGCCAAGTATTGATTATCAACATGGTCATGTTCAACAAAGCCCATTGGGCGGGAATGCATCACAGTTACGTCGTCCATCGTTATCAGCTGCGATGACATCAGTTTCAGTATCTGGAGGAAGTGGTACACCTTCTCCTTCATCATCATCATCACCAATAACTGTACCTGGGACCATGACAGCCAGTGGAACTTCAACAACTCCGACTATGGCATCACCCTTTAACCCATTTATTTATGGCAACGATGTTGATTCGGTCGATATCGCAACAAGAGTGGCTATGGTTCGATTCTTCAATTCCCAGAATCTCTTGGCCAACTTTACCGAACACACGCGCACCTTGAGGCTTTATCCTCGACCCGTAGTTGCATTTCAAATCAATTCATTCCTCCGTTCGCGACCAAGAGCTAGTCAATTTTTGAACAAATTTGCCCGCACGCAAGCCGTAGAATTTCTTGCCGAGTGGTCGCTCACACCGAGTAACGTTGCTTTTTTGAGAGTACAAACCGGTGTATTTGATCCAGCCCAAATCGGTGATAAACCTAAATGGTACGCTGCCGGTCTCGAGCCGATACATTTCAAAGTTTGGGATAATTCTAGTTCATTGGCAAATGCATTGAATGCATTAAAGGAATTGGAAAGTCAACCGACCGATGAAAGTGGCTCGGATTCGGAAGGGGCAGAGAGCACCAGTTCTTCTTATTCTTCTTTAAGTGATTTTGTCTCGGAAATGGCATCGTCAGATTTATCACCGAGTGAGTTAACAATTTTTCTTTTAACATCTTTACGAATATATTTTCATATACATTCACATTTCTTATTTAAATTATATATATATTTTTTGTTTATACAGGTTATAATTGTCCTCAAGTAAGTCAACCTCAACAAATGGCACTTTCGATAGATCCTAAGAACATTTACAATCCACCGAGTTCTTTGCAATATCCTGGAGTAGAAGAGGAATCACCCGTACGTCCGGAAAGCCCACCAAGTACGTCCTCCAGTCATAGTGATCTCAGCAGTCCGAGTTTTAACAGAGACTCCGAATTGGAATTGAATCCTAAAGCTTTGGAAACATCCCAATCAACCAATGTAAGTGAACGAAAGGTGGAATGGTTTTATACACAAATGTGAAATGTTTTTTATTATCGATATATGATACTAAATTATAGATATATTAGAAATGATTACGTTAAAAGAGAGAACGATGATGGGCTTTTTATCACGATGTTCTTTGCCGTTCACATATCACATTATATCTTCTTTTTCAAGCAAGCTTTATTTTTTTATCCCCTCAAAAAAAATAAGAAAAACACCTGGGTACAATGTACTGTATCGTATGTTAAAAAAAAAAAAAAAAAAAAAAAAAAAAAAAAAAAAAAAAAAAAAAAAAAAAAAAAAAAAAAAAAAAAAGAAAGCAACAACAACAATCTTCTCATTCCTCTGCTATTCTCTATCGCTTAAAATATGAATCGAGTGTGTCTCGTTGAAAAATGTCTGATCGTTTAAAATCTATCACTATCTCTGAACAAACATAATTCATTCAAATTCGGCTAGTACCATTATTAACATTATATATCTTATCTACATATTATCATGCATAATTAAACGTTTTCATCATAATTTTTGTTTCTATGTTACATGCTTTTTGTGCTAATGAATTACTTGGTCATAGGATAAAGAGGAAGGTGGTAGTTTTGAGTCAGACTCTGCATCGACAATAACTCCACGCACAATCCTGAGCGCACAAAGTTCAGTAGGCCAATTTGGAGTGGGCATGGGGTCATTAGGTAACTCCTTGCTCAACGACACTGAACGCACTACCACCCCTCACAGGACATCGCGCGTCACTAGATATATGGTTCCTGTGAGTCATTCTATATGCGTGCATCGGATTTCTGTCCTGCATTTATCTATTCAAAAAATTCCGCCTTGTCTCTATCTCTCTATCTCTCTCTTTCTGTGTCAACTATACGAGTGCATGCACATCTGGTATCATTGTCAATTTCACTGGCTTGCGCTAATGTCACCGTGTTTCGAGCAAAGCAACAAAAATAATACATCACTTGGCATGAAACTGGATTTTTATCTTACAGTTAATGTATGGTGTATCTACTCTCCTGGGTCCTCTCTATTCGTTTAATTTATCTACACGTATAATATATTTTTCCTAACGTAGCTAAGAGTATAAGATTAAACATATGATTTTGTCTATAATATTTTCCCTTTTTCCCTAACGAATTTCATTAATTATAAGTAAATTTCTTATTTTTTTTTTAATTATTGATTAAAGTTGTTACAATAATCAATCCAAAAAATTCTGATACGCAGTATGTAGTCTCTAAATTCTTTTAACAAAGTTCAGTAACAATAAAACGATTTGTTTGATACCGTATTGGTAGTAGAGAACACTGTCCACTGAGTATATCGAATTAACTTTTTAGAATTAATTTGGTGTCTGCACAATATTGCGTGAGATATTTTGAATGAAAGCTTATTGCAAGGATGAAACGAGTTTAAACAAAAAAAAAAAAAAAAAAAAAAAAGAAACATTCATCGAAATAAGAAATCTTTTCTAAATGATGTTAAAGGTGATGCCCAGTGGAACGAGTCTTCAAAGACAGCCAAGCGTTGGCAATGTTTTGGCACGAACGTCAAGTTTTGGATCTAGTACGAGCCCACTTTTAACCCGACAACTCAGTGGTAGTATGGATAGTGAAACTCTTGTAGCATCTCGTCAGCAAGTGGCACCTGGTTCACCTAATGGACACAAGAACAATACTGGATTACCTGGAAATGGTGTCATGAGACAAGGATCCCAGGGTTCGTTGTTTGAACAAATTGCAACTCAAGCTAAAGATCTCGTACGAGAAACAACCAGACAGAGTAGTCAGGATGGACTTCTTGCTCATATGGACAAAGTATTTATCTTCTATATTATTTTATCTGAATTATGAAAATATATATATATACTTTAAAATAAATTTCTATTTCTAGCTGAAGCATCAAGCAAAGGAAAAGATCACCGAAGCAGGCGAGGATAGTTTGTTTGCACCATTGGAACAGGTATTATTTAATAGCTTGAAGATAATTATACAATTCTATATAAGAATATCAATTCTTCGCAGTTGACACAACAAACGAAGAAGGCTGTAGGCGAAGCTACGAAATCTGTTCAGGAGGTATCCAAAACTGCGATCGAAGCAAGCAAGACAGCTGCAGGTGTTAGCAAAAATACTTTCGACGATTTAACATATATGGGTAAAAGTACGTTCGGTGATTTAACTAAGAGTGCTAAAGAGGTTGCAACGAAAAAGGGTTTGCTAAAGGTATCCACAAATGACTGTTAAATTAGTTGAATAATTCATTGCAATATTTAATTTTGATTGTTATTTCAGGGTCTCGGAGAATCACAACAATTTTCACCACCGCATACTCCACCATCCCCAGGTGTAACGCAAAGAAGAGAATCATCCAGTACACAATTGGTTGCTTCGGATAATCGTTCGGCACGTAGAGAAATTGGTCGTGATTTTTTCAGCAACTTTAGCAGCGATTTGAACGGCATCGCTGCTCAAACAAGCAGCATGTTCAGTGATTTATTTGGTACGTATATTTCATTTATCACGATCAATCAAATTTTCTAAATCTTTTCATATCGTTTATTTTTACCTTTATTTTCACAGGTAGCAGAAATACTTCTAATCGAAATATTGCGCAGTCACAAAAATCTAAGGAAAAATCTGGTACATCGTTTGGACCATTTCCTAAAGGTTGGTTATATTAAATAAAAGTTATGAAAAAAAAAAAAAAAAGAATTGGAAAGGAAAAGTATAATCATGATTACAGGTTCAGGAAAAACAGGTCTCGTTGAGAATTCGTCATTGATAAAACATTCTTCGATGAAAGCCAATCAAGAAGAAATGCAAAGGATGCAAAATGCGGAACGATCTAGTACAAACAGTGACAATCAAGCCTTCTTGACAGACGTATGTATACTTTTCAATAATAATTTAATTTATAAATCCTAAATACAATTCTTTTTTGAATTCTTTCTTTAATTGTGTTTTTTCTAGATGGTAACACAAGTTTTAGCTGGTGAAGGGGTCGGCTGGCTTAAATTGAATAGATTGAAGAAACTTATGGAAGATGAAAGTTATCGAGACCTGGTCGTAACGAAACTCAATAAAGGGCTTCATAGAAAAATAAGTCCAGATGACCATATCGACGATGTGGTAAATTATCTTACACGTTTAACTTTAATTTATATTACTTGCGATTTTTTTATAGATTTAATTATAAAATGATTTATTATCCCATTTTAGTGTATCTCCAAACCAGTATATAAGGGAATGCTAAAGTGCCTTCAAGCAGTGGCTCATGGTCTCGGTCATACTTATCATAATTTTGGATTAGGTGGAATGGCTTCTGTTTTTCAATTAATGGAAATTGCTCATACACATTATTGGAGCAAGGATCTATCGGAAGGTGGTTTCGATGGTTCACTGTTATCACAGGTTTGTCGAATAAAAGGAATTCATTATTGTGCAATATGAGAGAAACAATTGTTAATTAATTATTTATTGTTTCAGGCATCGAGCCCGTTCGGTAGCAAAGAAAATTTGAAGTCCCCGCAATCCCCGAATCAAGGTGAACTTCTAGATATATCTCAAAGATTACGAAGTCCACAAACGCAAGGTATACGATCGCGTATGACAGGAAAATAATAATTATCAAAGAAATCAGATAAATCATTTACCTTTGATTTCCAGAAATATCATCTCAAATTCAACTTGAGTTACCTCATGCACAGCATACAAGTGACGCTGGCCAATCAACAACTGACATGTTTTTGGATATGTTCACGAAAAAAAAAAAGTTTTTGTGCAAGCTAACGTCATTTGATTCAGAGGTATGAGAAAGATATTCCTCTCTTCGACAAACAATGTGTGAAACAAATCATTGATGATTAACATATATATATATCATCAAATGTGATATGGCATTTGATTAACGCGTTTTTAGATACCGTAAGATTCGTATTATTCGAATACAAAATATATTTGGCCTTATGATTTTGTGCATTTAATTCCGTTGGCGTCAGCTGATCATCCAATTCGGATGAAATTTTCTTTAATGAACAGGCAAATATTTGAATAATTCTATACCACATTATGTATGAACATGATATGTTTTTTAGAGTGGGCGGGGAGGTGGAACAGGAAGCAGCGAAGCTTTGTCCACTGACGGAGGTAGCATTATCACTAATCCTGCTTTTCGGCAATCACATCAAGCTTCTTTCCGAAGCACCGTGTCTGATAGCGAGGTCGAACAAGGCAATGTAAATTTCTTATTGAATTAGTTCAATTAACTCAAGTAGATATGATATTATATATATTATTAAATTATAAAGAACATTTTAAAAGGATATCGTTCATTATTCTTCTTCTTCTACTTCTTCTTCTATAAATCTTTGAATTTTTTCTTCTTCATTAAAAATTCACGAGAACTAATTTAGAGCCTTGATAGTAGTTAGAATTAGAAAATGGAAATGACGTAGTTGATAGTTTAGTTATTACCTTTAGCTGCTTCACGCATTTATTTCCTCTCACTTCGTTTTTAATTATATTAATTATTCCTTTTTATTTTTTTGTTTGTTTGTGTTACCTTTTCTCTATTTCGGTGAATGCTATTTCAATTAAAACAAACAACACGAAACTAACGAGTTCAAGGCGAACTTACGGATCTAATTATGCTAATTACTTTACCGCTTATATCTATTTCCCCCCATCACGATATTAACACTATATTAGATACGATCCTTCCTTCAATTAAGTAATCACTTAATTGTAAAAATAATGATGTATGCGTTTGGAAACGTTCGCAATAATATTTTAGATCAATGATTAGTAATATTTTATTGGTATAACGCGTAAGGTGAACGTGTAATTTCATATTTGTATCCACGTTATTCGATCTTCTGTTTCCAGTTTCCGCGTCAAGGAAAACAACGTACAGGTAGCGTCTGGTCCAGTAAATCATCGTTGAGTACAGGCTTCAGGTACCATGGTGGAAATTTAATCTCTACCACACCAATGTCTAGTCCTGAAACTGCTCGAACTTATCTCTTCGAAGGTAATTATGTTAACGGGGAAAAGAAGAAAGGAGAATAAAAAAAGAAAAAACAAAAGAATATCAAATTATTTTCACGTAACAAAATTTTCGATCAGGTCTTTTGGGTAAAGAAAGATCGAATCTATGGGACCAAATGCAATTCTGGGAGGATGCATTTTTAGACGCGGTATCGCAAGAACGAGATATGTTGGGTATGGATCAAGGGGCAGGAGAAATGATGGAAAGGTGATGATCATTCTATTCGAATTTACTTTTAAAAATCAATGACGACGAGAGAAATGAAATAACGTTCGTTCGTTCGTTTAGGTACAAGAGTTTGAGCGACAGCGAAAGACGTCGATTGGAACACGACGAGGATCGATTGTTGTGTTCTTTATTGCATAACTTAACTGCAATTTTGGTAATGCTGAACGTTGAAAAGAACGAGGTGAAACGTAAAGTTCGTAGATTGTTGGGAAAGAGTCACATCGGTTTGATTTACAGTCAGGAACTCAATCAGCTTCTTGATCAAATAAACATTCTCGTATGTTCAATATATTTCTAATGTATTAAAAGATAAATATATTTAATTTTGTAAAAAAATATTATTTTTCAGTATGGTAACGATATAGATTTAAAACCATTGACGTCACGACAAATGCATCGTCAATCATTTACCGTTCACGCTGGCGTAGATGCCGAGGGTGATTTAAGATTCCTCGAAGTACGTCACGATGGTCTTGTTTTGAGATCGGTAAATGGAGTTATCGTTGAACGTTGGTGGTACGAACGATTGGTTAACATGACATACAGTCCGAAAAACAAGGTTCTTTGTTTGTGGAGACGAAACGGTGGTCAAACACAATTTCATAAATATTATACGAAGAAAGTGAGTAGAATTTTGTTGTACTATTACTATACTGATCTTTTACATTTCAATCCAAAAAGAAAAATAATAATCAAAATCCAATAAGAGAGGGATTTATTCTGACACATTATTTTCAGTGCAAAGATCTTTATTATTGCATAAAAGACGCGATGGAAAAAGCCGCTGCACGTGGAAGAGGGGGAAACATTGGTATCGAATTGGGAGGTGAATTTCCAGTTCAAGATATGCGAACGGGAGAGGGTGGGCTTCTTCAGGTTTGCATGGAAGGTGTTGGTCTTCTCTTCGCAAACAGCAAGGTACGACCAGTCCACCATCCTTGCCCGTTATACGTTCGCATTACACATTTTACGTATTTTCGAGGGTGCAAGAAGAATGAAAACTTCAACACTTTACCAGTTGTACTAATATTTCCTTTCTCTAATTACTTACTATTACATCCATCGATTATTTCTATACTATGTCATATTTGACTACTACATATTTTCCTATTTCTTCTGTTCTTCATAGGTATTACTTTTTCTATCTCTATCTCTATCTCTATATCTATCTATCTATCTATCTATCTAAATTCTTGATCTTTTCCTACCTTTATTTTTCTTCTTCCTTCATCTTTTGCAATGTTACTGTTTCCTCTAATGTTAATATTTAAAACAAAGGTATAATTGTTCGACGATTGTACATAAGTTGAGTAATACATTTTAAAAAATACATTTTTCTCGCTTCGATTCAACGATCCAAAAAGATACATTGTTCAATCCAATTGATAAACAATCGATAAGATAAACAAAAATATAAGAAATTTATTTAATATATTTTGATTTAATATAAGTAAGAGAATAAATGAATCGTTGAATTGAAGTGTTTAATGCAAAATCAAAGAGCATAGCCGTCGCGCTCAGCCACTACCTTTTTTTACTCTTCGTATTGTTTCGATTATTGAATACTCTCTCTCTTTCTCTGTGTTTTTTTCGTTACTGCATTGATGCAAGGACCACTCAATATTATCTCCCATCGCTAGCCACTACGATCTGCTTAAATTTGTATCTGTACGTATTTTATCAGTCTTATGTATGATCAATTTTTCGCGAAATGATTCGAATTATAAGAGGGATCTCTTTTTTATCGCGAGGGGTCTGAACTAACACGAATTGGGATACAAAAAAAGGGATAGGGAGGAGAAGGGGTGGGGTAAAGAGGTTGGATACGATAGAAGAACATAATAATATGAATGTGAGAATGTTTAAACGAGTGCAAGAGTAAGAGCGAGAGAGATACAGCGAATGAAGAATGATTTAATTATCGTCAGGAAAACATAAGTGATTTAATTGAACGAGTCGAGGGGTGAGGAAGGGGGACGGGCGGGTTTGGTCCATAATCTCGAGAAAATATTCTTTATATATTGCTATTAAAAAAAAAAAAAAAATATATATAAGAAAAGGATTAATATTTGAAAAAAAAAAAAAAAAAAAA